GCCCCAACAGACTGCGAAAGGCTATACGGGAGAACTTTGTCTATGTGGGGCTAGGGATGGTGGGGGGAGAGGGGGGGGGTACATTCAGCAGTGGATTGACCACGTCTTATCATGCTACCGCTGCTGCTGCTGCTGCTGATGATGATGGGGATGATTGATTAGTGGAGTACCCACAGTTAATTACCACGTTTGGGGACGTCGTTGACAGCTTGCTTTAGTGGCCAAGGGCGCTTACGCGTTGCTGATAGGGCTGTGTGCGCGCGCGTGTGACGGCGTCAACTTTGACATTTACTTAATGCGAGGCAGCGAGCATGAAGGCAAATATCACTTATCTCGTACGTACGCATCTCGAATGTGTGCCCAGGGTGGAGTCCGCCGCGAGTCCGCTAATGAGAGGGGGGCGGGGGGTGTGAAGAGAGTAAGTTAATTCAAATTGGCTTCCCAGTTTACCTGCAGTCACGTCACTCGGAGCGCACCTTTGGGAAGAAGTGACTTGGGTTTGTTTTATTCTTAGGTTTTTTCGGTAAAGTCACGTAGGTAAAACATCAAAATTAATAAAAAATTAAATAAAACTTGGGGTTTTGTGCAACGTTCTAAAATATCAGCTCCGTTGCGCACGTGATCGTGCGGAATATTATTATGACGTGGCAGATGACGTGAGAGAGATGGCGACGGCTGTGGGGTGAGACCTTCATCCAGCAGTGGAGTGGCTGATGATGATCATTTTTGCTGCGATACATCTCCACGTGACGATAAGCCACTTTGCTGAGCTATCATTTGTGGCCAGGTCGCTTCTGAAAAATACATCAATATTCTTAAGTTTTTTCGGTAAAGTCCCGTAGGTAAAAAAAATAAATTTAAGTTAATAAAAATAAAATATTAATTGTATTAATTTAAATTTCATTTTTTTACCTACGTGACTTTACTGAAAAAACTAAGAGTATGAATCATTGCAGTCACGAAAGCTTCAAATCTAGAATTAATACATTAATAGTTAGTTCAGTTGGCTTCATCTAGTAGGATATCATATAGTTTAGTTTTATTTGTATAAGTTTAAGTAATATGTTTACCTTTTCTATACCGTGGACTCCTATCATATGTTGTACTGTTTGTTGTTGTAAGGTTCTAACCCGCCCCGACTGAACACCTGCGATAAAGAGCTTCATAGCTCATCGGATTCCTCCAGTATGAATACAGATCCTGATTTCTGAAGAGGTTTCAAACGCGTGCCGGCCGTCCGACACGCGGTCACTCGCGGTTGCACGCAACAGCTGATCTTTGCTTCGGCGAACTGTGAACGACTGCGGTTTCTGATTCTTACGCAATAATCGATTGTCTTGAGTCTTTGCCGCAACTCTTAGTCCCCGATTGTGCGATCGTCACCGTGACACATTCAGACGAAGGATGCATTCAGTGCCCTCGCAACGCATCTCCGCCTGGTGTAGACAGAACGGTCCGCGGAAATAGACATCACACAACTGCTACCGATCTGTTATCCACACTCTAGGCGGCGGGCACTTTTCGACGCTGCAGAGATAATTATTAAACGCCCATGACGTGACGGTCAAACCGATATTTGTGATCACGACAGAGCTGGAACATTAATTGACAGTAAATGTGACGTGAAGTTATATTTTAATTAATCGACAAAGTAAATGTGGCGTAATCTTTTTTTTATTAATCGAAACAGTGAATGGCGACCGAGGCTGAGAAAAATCCGGTTAAATGATAGGCGGCTGTCTGGATTCGAACCCATGTGTTTTGGCGGTGCCGGTCCAGCACTCAGCCTTATGCGAGGCACCTGTTCACCGCTAACTCGTAACCACTGCAGGCGCCACGTGGCGGGCAGCCCAAGGGCAATGCAGCAACATCAATTAGTTGCATTGTACGTCCTACGTTCCCGCAGTCGAAACCTCACGACTTCAGCAAACCCGCATTGGTCGTCACGGTCAAACAATCCCGCAAGGACAAAGTTTAAAGCAGTTTCATTTCGATCATTGTTTTTTTACCCTTCTATCTGGCAACAAAACTGCCACCTTTTTTTTTACAAGGAGTCATGTTTGCATAGACCACAATAGCTGCAGTCATAATGCAAACAAAAAAAACATAACTCTGATAATGTATGCACTGTCCTTGAAGTTGATTGGTCCACACCTGAGACAGCTTTCCTTAGAGCTGAGTCTCACATGGGTTGGACCAGATGACGCCAAAAGGCGCAAAAAAAACAATTATCATATTTTTTACTGGCAAATGAGGTTCCAATGGTGCAGTTTCATATCGTTGAGCCGGATGCAATCTCAAGAGACCAGGAGGATGAGTTTCATTTGCAAGTATCACCCAGTCGGGAGATATGCTGCTGCTGCTATGTATAATCTAGATTTAAGAATGTGCGGCTCATTTTCGCCAGGTATCTGTAATGTCTCCTGTAAAACAGACGGGCGCGTATTTTAGCGTTTTTTTTTTATTTACACCAGTAGTATTAACCAGGGCGGCCGCTGGAGTCGAGCCGCGAACCTCTGCAACGACGAGCGGCAAAACGCTCTGCCGATTTGCCTTGCCACCGCGTCATAGCCATCATCCAGCAGTGGGTCCACGAAGGTGCCACATCACGAGGTGGGTGGACCGCTGTTGGGTCTCGATGAGAAGAGATGGGGGGAAACCACGTGACCTATGCACAGCCGACGTCGTGGATTTTACCGTCCACTGAACGTGAACCATGTAGATCCAACCGGTCTATGCGGCACACGTGGGATTGATAACGCGATGTAACACAATTTTTGTTCCTGGGTAGTAAGTGTTAGTTTGTAATTGCTTATGTCCAAAAAGTATAGAAAATGGCTATTATTTGGGGGCTGATTCGTGAAAGTGATTTGCATTATAATCGTAAATCTCGAAAAACTACTCACTTATAAATATTTTGGAGTCATTTTTGTATGTCTTTAGTATAAATACGTGTTAATTTTGATTCATATGTTGTTGTTTTCTGACTATACGTGAACGAAAATACACATTCGCCCGTTTTCTCATTGAGAATATGTAAATTTTAAGATATCAATGTCCTGGTAACAGAAGCAAAGTTTTTGGGGAATAATAGCCATTTTCTGTACTTGTGATGGATAAGCAATTAGGAAATAACACTTACTACTCAGGAACAAAAATAAATAAAAATGTGTTCCACGGTGTAATACCAGTGACTAAGCGTAAGCTCCCATCGCAAAGCCATTTAGCACAAATATATAAAAACAAAGTCCATCAGCTGCTGCGATGAGTCAGCGACTTACGTGGGGGTGGTTAATTGGTATCAAATTGTCTGCACACAACGTGCACACAGCGTGGGTGATAAGTCCCTTCCCCCCCCCCTCCCCACGTTTACAACTACGAGCCCATAAACGCCATTCAAGAGACGGGTATAGGGACTTCCCGACCACCCTGCACATTCAACAGACATGCCCTGGAGCGCGGTGTCTTTGTTAACGTCGATGATCATCAGCAGGTGGCTTCACGGCACCAAGTCACCACGTGGGCCCTCTGCAAGCAGTCTATATATAGATCGGGCGTGGTTCGTGCTTTGTACGTCTCTAACTGTGATCCAGCGCTATGGAGGCATGGGGTTAGTGGACCACGTAGAGATTTGTGAAAGTCACAAACTCAAACTGTTTTGTCTCATCCACACTTCCATCGCACCGGACGTAGCGAACCGGGCTCATCGGGAACGACATCAAACTAAACACAAAAAGCAGTTCTAAAGAAATGCATTTTCAATTTAAATTTAAACGTGTATATCTCCAGTGGCTTTACCAATGTCGGAAGAGCGTTCCAGACTGCCGCAGAAGCACATCTGACGCGGTGACCGTATTTGTTCGAAGGCCAGCCAAAAGCCGCTGCGAGGGTTACGGGAGTTCGCGTGATGATTTATTTTTCTCGACGAGATAAGCGAGGTTTTGTCGTTCATTTGTGGCACAGGCACTTTGTGTGTGATGAGTGCGACCTTACAATTATTCGCAAACGGAAGCCCATGCATGTATTATTTTATTTGACCAGGCAAAGCCCGCTGAGCTATGCAGTGTAGCTTTTTCGGAAGCGAACTGGCCACAGATGATAGCTCAGCGAAGTGACTCATCACGTGGAAATGTATAACAGCCAAATAATCTTAAGCGCATGTTTCTAAATGTGGAGGGGAAACACCGGAGGACGCGGAGACAAATCCGCGCTACCACGGGGAGAGAGAGACACGCGAACTCCAAATAGACAGCAGGCGTCAGGGTCGGGATCGAATCCACGGTCTCCTGCATACCAGGCGAGACATTTAACATCTCGCCCACTGAAATGCTCAACTTTGCAAATGCTTCCTCTTCGTCGTCTCTGTTACCCCCAAGTGATGTATAACCTTGCTCACTTCAGGAAATCTATCAACCCCCATATGTATTACACACACAAGAACATTGTTCGTTTTTGGCCACTTCGGAGTTTTGAGCCTTTGCTCAGCAACCGTGATTTTAAAAACAAAACCCAGCGGGCCACGTTAGAGATGACCAGGAGATGGCAGTAGACCCCTAAGTGGGATCTTTAACCCGTCTGTGCGGACCTTTGACCGTCGACCCTTCGGAGTGCTTTCGATTTCCTCCCAATAGCAAGAAGCAAGAACAATAAAAACATTCCTCAATTTTGAAAACGGAATAGGCCAAACATCTCAATGGCAGGATGCTCTTGAAAGGGAGTCTCGAGACTCATCAATGCGGTTTTCCCTGGAATACAAACTCGGGACAAAAAAAAAATTCCACGTGATTATGCCAGGGACCATTCTCTCCCTCGATGCTTCCAAAAGTTTGGTCTTTGCACGAATACAGTCGGAAGCGGCGTTCTTCACGGCAAGGCCCCTGGTGGCCTTTAGCGCGGCCCCTGACAATACACAAATAGTGAAGACCCCACCCCCCGCCCCATCATCGTGCTGTCCACCAACCCCCCCCCCCCCTCCCTGAAAAGGCATGAAGAACACTGCTCTAAAGTGTCCTGATAAAATCTGGCTTGTTCCCGTAGTCCCGTGTCGCCAACTCGCTCCTGATGTTCTGGAGTGTCTCTCCTCGTCCTCCTCCTCCTCTCTCGGCGGTGGTGATGATGCCCATCTCCTGTGGCCGCATGCAGTAATCAGCAGGCAGCGTCTCGGTCGAGCTGCCTTGATCCCCCTGGCATGCCGCGTCCGACCGCTCGGATCCGGCGTCACGGTTCGCGACCGGCTCGAGCGGGCGCGCCGCGGCCGCCTGCACCACCGTGGCGAAGTCGCGAGGCGTCGGCTTGAGGACCTCGCTTCGCTGCACCTGCGCGACCTCGTGGCTGGGCTCGTAGAAGGTCCGGCCGCACAGCCGAGCCACCGAGGGCCCGGTGCTTCTCGCCCGAAGCGGTGCGGCGGACGAGCCCGCGGGCAGGGCGCAGGGCGCCGGAGGCGTCGCGGGCGCCGCGGCCGCCGCGGCCGCCTTGGCTTGCGCCCGAGGCTGGAACGTGGTGGTGGTGGCGGCGGCGGCCGCCCTGGCAAATGCGTGGGGCGAGCACGAGCCGGGCGCGTCCGTCGAGTGGAGCCTCGGCAAGGGGATGGAGAGGGCCATGCCGCAGTGCTTGCCGTAGCCGCCGCTGCTCACGCTGCTCTGCCGCAAGAGGGCCACGGATGCGGAGGAGGGCCCGCGCGGCCTGAACGTTCCGCCCGCCACGACGCCCGGGAACATTCGCCGACGTCGAGTGTCGCCCGCGACGCCGCCGCCGCGGCGATGGGGAGCAGCGGCAGGACGACGCGAGGAGGCACGCGGAGGCGCCGAGGAGAGCGCCGATCGCCACCGAGACTGCGAACACCAGCAGGAGCTCGGAGAACGAGTCCAGACCTTCGAGAGGGGTAGACACGAGGATGGGCAGCGGAGGGGGGCAGAGCACAGGCGAACACAGGGAGTGACCGGTCACGGATTTGGCAAATCGGCGTTCGTGTCGGCTGCAGCGTGGATGATGACCGCTGTTTAATTTATGCTCGAGCAGTCAGTAACAAACATACTCGTAGGATCGTGGTTAACGTGGGGTTTGGAGGTAGAATGACATGGGAGTTGTTTACGGGCAGGTGGTGTAACTTAAAATCGAGTGATTTAGTGACGCAGCCCGACAGTCCACATTGCAAGCCGGCCTTTGAGGCAGCTCTCCAGAAAACATTGAGACGCTAAGATCCGAATCCGCACCTCCGATTGGCTCGGTTGGCTCCGTACGGTGCGAAAGAAGTTCAGCGCACATACATGTGACTGAACGCGGTTGATGTTCGTAGTGTATGATTGTTATTGTGCGCGGCAAAGCTGCAGCCCTGCAATTCCTTGCTGATGTCACTGCTGGCAGAAGGGCCTTCATTATTAGTGTTTTTTTAGAGAGCCCTTCAACAGGGTAATTTGGCCTTCTCTTTTACGCTGGCCACACGGCATGGGACAACTGTTTGAGTACCCACACTTTACTCCACCACACGTGCGAACCTGCATATCGACTAGCTCCGATGCACCCATTTGTAGATTGAATTAAACCAGCTGACCAACCCTCTCGATTGCAAGTCCAGTACGAGAAACCCTTCCACCACGCCAGCAGCAGCAGCCTTGTTATGGGTGCCACGGTGGCGAGATGTTAACTACCTCGTCTGGTGTACAGGGAGTCGTGGGTTCGATCCCGGCCTGTATATTCGAAGGTTTGCGGTGTCTCTCTCCCCGTGGTCGTGTCAATTTTTCTCTGGGTCGTCCGGTTTTTCCCCTCCACGTTTAGAAACACGCGTTTAAGAGTAATTGGCTGCTGTATATTCCCACGTGATAAGCCACTTCGTTGAGCTATCATCTGTGGCCAGCTTGCTTCTGAAAACGAGCTATACAGCTCAGTGGGCCTTAACTGGTAACATAACAAAAATGTTTAGTTTAGTTCGTTTTATTGTTCCAAGTGTCATTAATAATCATAATCAGTGCTCAGATCATCGTCATTATCATTCTTATCGTCAGCAGTATCATCGTGATTCATTACTTACCTTCACCCTCTGTCGCCTACAATTTGGCATAATCACTACGTTCACCATCCATAACCATCCATCTTCCATAACGTCATTAGTCTGTTTGTGTGGCAACAGCACCGTCAATATTGGAATTGATCGCCATAATCAATGCGCCCACTGAGGTCATCATCATCATCACTACCACCACCACCACCACCATCATTATCAAATCACCAACTGTTCAAGCTGACTATAACTTAGTCATGCACATCATCACCACCAGCATCAACATCGTGGTGCTGGTACGAAATGCAACGACCAACTCGTGTGTGTGGTTGTTACTCCGTATTCAGTAGTTCGGTACATATATGCAATAGGAGAAACTGTTTGTCGTACTGAATTAACCAAGTATATTGCTTTACCCACTTTCTACCACGAGCTTTTTGCCGTGAGCTTTTGCCACATACCATGGTGGGCAAGCTACTTGGTTCACTTAGGATGGGTTTGGGGATTTTGTTGGTAAGCGTTGAGCGTGACCCACAGTGTGATGTATAAATTTAGGCTGACGCTGCCTTACCCGTAAAACCCAACGGACTTTTGCACCCGAGTCTCATTTTAGGCTATCAACAAAGGTATAAGCTGATAATTGGTTTTCTACCCTTCTATCTGGCAACAAAACTGACACCTTTTTAACAAGGAGTCATGTTTGCATAGACCACAATACCTGCAGTCATTAATGCAAACAAAATACATAACTCTGATAATGTGCACTGTCCTTGAAGTTGATTGGTCCACACACGAGACAGCTTTCCTTAGAGCCGAGTCTCACATGGGTTGGACCAGATGACGCCAAAAGTCAGTTTAGTTGCCAGATAGAAGGGTAAAAAACCAATTATCATATTTTTTACTGGCAAATGAGGTTCCAATGGTGTAAAAGGTATAAGCTTTTGGTTTTCGGAATGTTCTGGTTATGTAAGCGTAGAGGCCGACCAAAACTTAATTTCTGGTTTCGGCCGAAAGCGAAACCAGACCGAAAGTAAAAAAAAAATACTTTCGGCCGAAACGAAAGTTAACCGAAAATAAAAAATGTAATTTCGGCCGAAACCGAAACTTTGCCGAAAGAAGCCATTTGCCAACTTTCGGCGCCGAAACCGAAACCGAATTTTGGTCGGCCTCAATGTTAGCGTAAACACAACCAGCTGTAAAATGTCAGCTTCATATCCCTTCTCGAACTATGTATGTATGTTGAGCTCCTTTCGCGCCGCGCGCAAGCCAACCGTGCTAAACGAGCATCCACGTGTAGATTGTATGAGCTGTGAGTGTACGTACAAGAGGGTATTCTGTGTGTATGTATATACTTAGCAGATGCTTATTTGCATGTCCATGCGACTGAGCGAACGGCACGAGGTGCTGGCAGCGCTGCGTGGATCGTTGCCATCGCAGCATTTGTGGGAGATGGCCATGACTTGGGGAGGCCTTCATCCAGCACTGGATTGACCATGACCGATGATGATCACCATGACATGATGAAAATGAGTACTACTTTACAGTAAATCTACAGCAAATATTCCGTGGAAATACTTACCCCTGCCTTGATCATGGCTGATGGGTACATGCAAATGTGTTCGTGGGGAGCGGTAGTGCAGCGGTTAGTGCGCTGCGCTACGAACCTGGCGACCCGAGTTCGATTCCCGCTCACGGAGAATGCCAGTGACGATTATCTAAATCTGTCCTGGGCCTCCCCTAGGTCAACTCAGCCTCAAGTGAGTACCTGGTGCGCTGTGTAAAAACATCGTCACTGTGGAGACAAAAGCGGTCGGGCGCGGTGCTGGTCACCCAACCCCTCGTGTACCGTATCGGCCTTCATAGGTGCTCGCTAACAGCACTTGCCCCAACAGTCTCTTCAGGCCGTACGGGGATCTTTGTCTATGTGTATGGGAGTGTACGTGCCATAACAATATGAGGTGCTCGCTAACAGCACTTTCCCCATAACAGACGGTGTGGGGGGGGGAGATATTCTTTGTATCAATTCGAGTGCGTGTGTATAGATCTACAGGAGTAGCACATATGCTTAAATGTACATGAGTGTATCTGTATGCGTGCACACGTGTGTAAATCTGCGGTCGGGCGAAAAAAAAACCCAACCATTTGCGTCTTTTCCTCACTTGGGAACGTCAAATTAGACCTGAGTGCTTCAACGGAGATGCCCCGGGCGATGTATTGGCCGGCCGTCTATCAATTTCAAAATCCTTCGGAACGAGGACACGAGAGCCGCCGTGTAAAGTTACAGCTCGTGCTACTCCGCCGTGCCAACGAGCGGCCCCAGCACGGCTCCGCCCGTGGAAAGCCGGGCGTGGATTTTTGTCTCCGCGCAACGACGCGACCGTGCTGTGATTGGCACGTGTTCATAATGCCCTCTCGGTGCGTGTCCTAACAAGCCCAAGATCAATGCTGCAGGTGTTATCCTGCGTAACTTGGATGAAGCGAAGACCCGTGGCATTGACTTCGTACGTGTGTTGAACTTCCTTCGCAGCGTACGTAGCCAACCATGCTCATCGGAGGTGCAGGGGGAAGAACAACAAACTGAACACAAAAAGCAGTTTTGAAAAATTAGTTTTCAATCTGCATTTAAAGGTGCGTCGCTCCGGTGGTTTTCCTGATATCGGAAAGAAGAGCATTCCAGACGGACTGCAGAAGCGCATCTGAAAGCGCGCGATGCGGTGACCGTTTTTGTTCGATGGCCAGCCAAGAGCCGCTGCGTTGAATGGCCGGAGTTCGCGTGATGGCTTACGCTCTTTGACGAGGGCATTCACGCAATGGACATGAAGTCTTCGTGGATGACACGCACGAGTGCTGTTGAGGTGTGATCATGTGCACGCTGGACTTGCGCTACAGATGTCGCCGGTTTGATCTCACGGAGTGGCACTCGAGTTCCTTAACTCCCCCACCCCCCACAACCACAGCCGACTGGCAGTTCGCACGTATGGTGGGGTAAAGTGCGGGTTTCTTTCCTCCCACTTCGTCGTTCAAGACGTCTGGCCATCCGATAAGAAGAGGCCGAACATTATTTAGAGGGGGGGGGGGGGGCTTGCTTAGATCTCCCACTCGTGGAGGCCACTTCCGACAGCAGTGGCGGAAGGCGGCACTTGCAGGGCTGTGCCTTTAGCCTCGTAGATGACAAATACGTTGGGCCATTTGTGCGGCCGTAGCAAACTCCGTTGGAGGGTCACGTGATGTGAAATCGCGCTCAGGCTAGCATTGCTCGTGTGCCCATAGGTCGTGGCTGAACGTTCAACCAACCATCGGCTTACCTCGTCCACTGCACAATGGACGATAAAAACTGGAGCAGCGTATGACACGTGGTCGCAAAAACGGGTAGTGACGGGTGCTACCCTGCAGTGTCCTGCTCATTCCACTGCTGGCAGATGAGCTTCCACTCGTGGGAGCTCCACCGTTGGCCAAGCATCTTGGAGGAGGAGGTGGAGATGGGGAGTGCCCACACTTTTCCCCCACCACATTCAGACTTGCTAACAGGCTAACAATTGATTTTTTTTTATGATACTGGACATATATAATGGTGGTGCTATGCACATATCCAGGAAAGCCTTAATGTGACCCTGGGGGTGGGGTGGGGGTGGATAGGGGAGAGGGGCGGGTTCTGCGTTGGGATGGTTGGCTGGGTATTTTTGATGGGTGTTCTTGTATCCGGAGAGGAAACCAAAGTGCCCGAAGAAAACCCACCATGAACGCAACTGGATAACTGCCAAAAGTTCGCACGGACGGCATCAAGAATCACAAGTTCGGGACTGTGAAACCCGCGCCGCGTTGCAGCAGCTGAAAACCGCCGGGGGAAAATATGTAATACGCAGCTCAGCTCTGTCGTATCGTTATGAAAAGAGGGAGATTGCAATGTCCGCGACCGCGACGCTGAATTTTGAAGATGCCACAGCGCACGATGCGAGCGCGAGAGAGGCAAATTTTAAGTTGACGAACGCTAAAATCGCCATCAGTGGCTGTGAGAGACCAAGATGGAGCCGTAATAAACGATTTATAGAATCACAAAACTAGGCGGAGCCATTTCTATGCAGTTCTCTAAAGCCAGAAAAGTTCGCTGAAGCCTATGACTGATTCATATACCACTCGCCACTGATGTTAGCCGTGGCAGGCAACAGACCCTGGGTTCATAGCACACTGCGCAAATGACCGCACCAACCCAGACTTATACTGAGCATGACATACATGAAGATTCCATATCTCTTTTGTAGGATAATGCTTTTGATTTAAAGCTTTCGTGACTGCAGGGATTCATATTCTTGGTTCTTTCGGTAAAGTCACGTAGAAGGGAAATAATATAAATATACTGCAACACAAGCAATCATCATAAGGTGTGAAATCCACACCTGATGATGATTGCTTGTGTTGCAGTCGAAACGTCGTGAGAATTTTTATTGTTTTATATTTATATTATTTTATTATTTCCCTTCTACGTGACTTTACCGAAAGAACCAAGAATATAGGCTAATGCTTGTCACACGTCACCGTGGGTTCTTGTAGTTACCATATTCAGCCAGTGAATAACATACAATAAAATAAACTCCAAAGTTTCCTGCAATTGCCACTTTCGATTGCTTCAGTATTACGAACGATCACATTTCCGGACAGGGAACCAGTAGTGGGATTTGCCTACTTCTTGTCGTATTATCGAATTTAACGTCAACCTCCAAGGATGGCAAGCTACTTGGTTCACTGATGATGGAGATTTTCTCTTTACGAGTGTCCACCGCGATGCTTGAAGCAACGCAGAGCTTCCGGCTGAGCCTGTCCCGTTGAGTGAAAGCAATCGGCCCCAGAGCCGGAGTTGTCGGGAGAAGAAAATTCGAAATAAGATTTTTTTATTGCTTGGCGAGGAGGGGGGGGGGGGGGTTCTCGATTAATCGTTAGTCAAAATGTCATCTTTGCTTTCACAGTTGACATCAGTCGCTCTGTTCACGGTCGCCTAAAATTTTGCACGCGTCATCGGCTGGCGTTGGTCGGCAAACCGTCGTCGTCGTAACAAACGTCGAGTCCAACTTACCGAAAATGTTGCTCGGATCGGGCGCGGCGGTCGAGTTGGTCGAGACGCTGCCGTTCGAATGCATCGTTGCTGTGCGAGGTGCAAGCGGACGGATCTCGAGGGCATGAGCCTTGCCGGACAGTTAGACGGGTGGGTGACACATAGAGCGGAGTGTGTCCCCGCGATGTAGGGAGGCATGGGGTGGGAGTGGTGGCGAGAGAATGGGTCATCAACGGTGGGATTTAAAAAAAAAAATTGGAAAAAAAAATTGGAAAAAAATTCAGTGACGGAGGGGCGTTCTCCCCTCTCCGCGCGTCCTCGGGAGGAAACGGAGCTACGCGTTTCCGACTTCCCGAAGCTCTTCTCGAACCCCCCCCCCCCTCCTCTCGTGCGTCTCCGTGCAGGCCTCGCCGATCAGGAAGCCTCCGACGCGCTGTTCCATTGTTCCACTCGCGCCTGTTTCCTGCGCCTCGTCCCTGGAGGAAGACTGTTGGGGAGAGCGCGCGATCGAGACGCGGCCTGGCCATCACCAGTGACGATTGTCTGAATCGGTCCCGGGCCTCCCCTAGGTCGACTCAGCCTCAAATGAGTGCCTAGCGCGCTGTGTAAACATTGCCACTGGGGAGACAAAGGTGGCCGGACGTGGTGCAGGCCAGCCGTTCCCTCGTGTGCCGTGCCGGCCTTCATAGGTGCTCGCTAACAGCACTTGCTCCAACTGCATGCATGGCTCTTCGGGGACATATTTGTCTTGGTGCACGTGTGTGCATACGCGATGGGATTTCATATTGATTTGTTTTCACATTTTGTACGATTCCGATTAGAGCCAGTTTCTCGACTATTTTACGAGGGGGAGATCTGCAGTGAGAGGGTTGCACAGCAACAACAACAACAACAGAAACGAAGACAACAACAATAAACGGCCATCGATGATGCAGAGAACGAGCACAGCAATATGGCACAACTGACAAAAGCGGCGTGATTCACGGTCATACACTGAGCGCAGTGCAAATGTAGCGTGCGAGCAACAGGCGCAAGAAAAGCGAGCGATGTGTGCAAGCAAGCTCGATACTTTAGCGACATGAACACACGCGAATCGAAAAACAGCGGTAGGGCAGTGCTCTGAGCACTGTGCCACGACCCCAGTGACCTGGCTTCAGTTTCCGGACACGTGCAAACAACCGGTGCCACTATCCTCCAATCGGCGCGGTTGGCTACGTACGGCGCGAAAGAAGTTCAAAGCGCGTACAATCCCGGGCCTTCCCTTGGCCGATCGCGGTGCGTGAACGCCAGCCCCTTGGGGAGACAATGTGGTCCGGGTGTGGTTCCGTCTGACCGCCGCGTTTGTCATGCCCAGCCGCATTGGGCGCTCGCTCGATGTGAGGCTAAACGGGGAATCTTTGTTCTTTTGTGTTGCGGCGATGGGGACCGGCGGGCATTGTGTTTGTGACGGCTGCGACGGTGGCGTCGCTACGTCGATTTGGGGCTCTGGGTGGAGACGGGCTTCCCTTAATCCCGGCCTTCCTGCACATCAATTCTCTCCTCTGTGCAACGGCCCCGTCGCTGCCATTCTCCATCATATAACGCGAGTCCACCGAGATGGAAAATCCACTGCGTATTGGGGCTGTCATGCTCCAAAGACAAAGATCAACCGTATAGCCTTAAGAGACTGCTGGGGCAAGTGCTGTTAGCCGGTACGGTACACGAGGGGGTGGGTGGCCAGCACCACGCTCGACCGCCTTTGTCTTCCCAGTGACGATGCTTTTACACACCGCATCAGGTACTCATTTGAGGGTGAGTCCACCAAGCAGAGGCCCAGGACCGGTTCAGATAATCGTCACTGGTGTTGGCCGTGAGTGGGAGTCGCCTGGTTCGTAGCGCGGCACGCTAACCCCTCCGCCACCGCTCCCCATGCTCCACACACACCCCGACTTTACGCGGCCTCCCAGAACCAATATCAGCCCATTTGAAAAATCGTTACGGGTTTTGCTTTGCCACGCTTCCAAGATTTCATTTTCGAGGGGGGTTTGGCTCCGGCTGAGACAAAGTCGTCGACGTGTGGCGAAGTGGCCGGCTGACTGAGACGAGGGGGTGGGGGTGGGTCAGAGATTATCGAGTGGACCGGCGCTGCCGAAATCCTGGGTTTGAATCCGGGTTTCGGCCGCCGCCCCTGTGACCCCGCCGGCTTCTCAAGCGTCGTGAAGAAGCGAGGGCCTCCACCTTGGTCGTCACCGAACACTGCCCGTGAAGGAACACCTCCCTGCCCCCCCCCCCCCCCAGTGTGTTAGTTACCGTTTTATACAGGGCTCGCGTCGAGTTGTAATAATAGTTTCTCAAAAAATAAAAACACACCACGTAACATTTGGTTTTCCAGTTAATCTGAATACATTCCACCGAGGATGTGTGGTGGTGGTGGTTGTGGTTGTGTGGGGTGGGTGCGGAGAGTTACGGCCCCACCGACCCCTCACTCAGATGGCTCCACGGTCCCTTACTGCACGTTCCCCAGCAGAATAGGGACCGCTGCGTGTGTGCGGGGAGGGGTAGAGTGGTGGCATTGGTGGTTCTGGCACAGCACTTGCATCTCAGCCACCTGGGTTTGATTCCCAGCTACTGGTTAACGGTTGCAGGTGGCATCTGAATCTTCCCCGGGCAAACCCCTGACACTGGGGGCCACGTTACCCCTCTCTGTGCTACACTGGCCTCAATAGGTGCTCGCTAACAGCACTCGCAGCCAGCGTTTGCAAGGCTTACGTGGATGATCTCTGTGGGTGCGAAACTGTTTTCTATCTGCTGTTGATGCGTGAAGGTCTCCTCTTGTCACGTATCGTCTCCCGCCGCTGTAGCCATCATTGTGTCGTCAACATTTCAGCGGTGCGTGGCTGTTGAGGCGCAATGCACCCATCGTACCGCACGAGACGAGTTGCCTTTATCCTCCACGTGCATCGGCTTCCGTTTGCGGAACGAATGCATGAAATGGTCCTTCCCCGCACCTTCGATTTGCACGGTTGGCTACGTACGGTGTAAAAGAAGTTCAACATGCGTACGTGCTTGAACAGGATTGCTAGAAACGACCCAAAATAATGAATGTACCCCGAGACCCATGCCAAATTTTGCCCATGATAGATCGATCAACATGTTATATAGTTACGTGGGAGCTTAAGCATTGTGTGATATTTGCTGTGCACAATTTCAGTCTGGCAAACCTTGCAGCAGTTAGTGTCCTCTATGTATAAATATAATATATTTACATATAAAATCCCAGTTTGACACGTGTTGCCGACAGTTAATAAAACTCGGATCTATAGGTTCCACGCCTCGAGCAGTCCACAGAAATACGGCAATTAATATAAAAAAGCACTTAAGCAATCTTATCCCTCGCTGTCCCGTGCTCGCTGTTACTCGGTGACTCAACGCGTGTTGGAGTCAGTTTTTGCCTCGCTAGTTTGGCGAGTGAGGGCGGTGTCGTCAAGGGAATATGTATGTGAAGACAGAGAGAGCATTGTTTGTTGACAGATTATTATATTCGCCTCTAATTGTGGCTCGTGCCAGATACATTTGTCACGTGGTGTGGGCCCAAAATTGAATTAATAATGGCTTTCGTATTTTTCTCCTCTACTTTTGAGTGTTTAATCTATCGAGTGTTCTTTTTTTCCCATTCCCTCCAGTACAGTACGGGGTTCTGACCGTAACTCTGGAATTTGCGGACGATCGCGCCTGGGTGCGAAATCTCCAGCCGAGCCAATCACGCCGGGCGTCTGGTCTCCTGGGACCGCTATTTCTCAGGGTGACGAGGTGGGCCCCTTTTCCCTGCCACCCACGGGTCCCCCCCCCCCCCCACTCCGCCCCCCAAGCCACCGTCACCTCTCCTCTCGCTCTCTCGCTGGCCGTGCTCGCTCTCGCCGTCGTCGCGTCCGCCTGCTCCGCCACTTACCGGGGCTTCGCGAGTTCGCGACGCGGTCCGAGAGTCGCTCACATAGGCACCCGGCCTCGGGCTTCGCGCGCTGACGACGCCCGACCGAGACCCCACGACCCCCGGATCGCAGGTGAGCGTCACCTGTCCCGCAGTCGCCGACTTTCGTGCCGACCGCTGTGCAGGGTCACGTGCTCGCGTTCGTGTATCGCTCGTGTACGCCGCGGTTCTGGCGGACCCACGCTGTTCAACCCCCTGGCGATTGCGCGGCGCCGGTGGGCGATTGGTGTCCGAGCATGGGACGGATGTTTCCCACGTTAACGATGTTGCGCTACGATGCTTGTGAGCCAGGCTCCATGCCCGACCGTGTACGATGAATGTATGCATGTATGTTGAACTTCTTTCACACTTTAAGCAGCCAACTGTGTTGATTGGAGGTGTGCGGGCAGGACAACAAACTAAACACAATCATCAGTTCTAACGAAATTCGTTTTTCAATCTAGGTGATGATTTTAAAGTGCATAGCTCCAGTGGCTTCCTACTATCGGAAGGAAGAGCAATGACCGTCTTTGATGGCTAGGATGGACTGCTGGTGGTCGTTGGTACGAAAGTTGGTTTGGACCTGTCGCACGTTAATGCTGCTCTGCTAGCGATCTTGGTGCCCCTGGATCAAGTCCTGGCAGTGCACAATGCTGGTGGAAGTTAGTACCTGAGGCTGGTATAGACTTATTCAAGGTTGACTCGGTTTAACATGAGTACCTGGTTTAGTTGTGGTGTGGTTGACATCAACATCGAGTAACAAGTGTCTGTGTGTGTGTGCGCTACGATCCTGTTAACCCGGGTTCAATTTCTGGTGCCCCGGTGGTGAAATATTACCTGCCTTGCCTCGTATACAAGAGTTCGTGGGTTTGATCCCAACCCTGACGCCTGTATATTTGGAGTTTGCATTGTTTGCGTGTTCTTCCCATGGTCCGTTTATCCCTCCACATTTAGAATCAACGTGCGCTTAGAGTGTTGGCTGCTATAAATTTCCACTTGATGATAATCCACTTTTGTTGAGCTATCATTTGTGATTTTCAGGTCTCTTCTGAAAAAGAGCTACATAGCTCAGTGAGGCCTTACCTGGTGAAATAAAATAAAATAAATTATTTAATTTAATTTAGAAAGTGGTTAATGCTAATCAAATCCGGTCAGGACCTCTCATAGGTCAACTTGGCCAAGAATTATTACCTGCTAGAGTGGAGCGATTGACATTGCCAATGGGAGACAAGTTAAGTTGAGCGCGGTATGGGGTGTAATAACACTGCGTCTTTAATAGGTGCTTACTAACATAACGTATCACAGCAGTCTATGGCGCTATAGAAGCAGATTCCTTTGTGAGTGTTAAAGAAAGCTAAGCTGCACTCAAGTTATCTTGAGTTTGGCCAGAATAAACTTTGTAAATGTAACAATTAGGTGACACGGCTGTCACGATCACAGGGATAATTTCACCAGCAATGCGAACCTAACAGAATGTCTTTAAAAGATCAATCGATGTAGATAAATGAGTCAAAAATCCGGAGATTTGTGTGGCCATGTTAAAAAAAGCTACAGCAGTTCCCTCTGCAGCGAGTCTCGTAACACACAGCCAGCTTCTCATGTTACTCAAAAGGCAGTTTGACTTAATTAGCCAACTTTGTTTTAGTTAAACGACACAACACTATTTAATTCCCAGCCGCATACAAGTTGACCAACGATTCATTACCAAAACAACTTGGAACAAAATTTGCGTTGAACGCCGTTGGCTTTTTCGTTGTTGCCCGCTGCTGCGACGTTTTCACGCTCGTACTTTGCGAACGTCCCATTACTTGCGGACAATATCCCTTTCTTTTGCACGTATAAAACTGAATGCGCCGTTTCGTGTGTTTGCTTATTTCCGCCGTGCACGATTTACGGAATAGAGAGAGTGGAGCATTTCTCGGGCGACAGCGGGGTGGGGGGAGAGGGTGGGAATATTTTGGTTGCTCGATGGTAAATGTCTCAACAATTCGCGAAAAATGAGACCAGCGCGTGACCTTGCAAATGACGGGCGCCCCTGGAAAAAGTTTAAAAAGCCACCATGGATGTAAATTTCCCATGATGATAATAATAATACTTTATCTTCTTGGTTCTTTCGGTAAAGTCACGTAGAAGGGAAGTAATAAAATAATAAAAATAAAACATAATAAAATAATTCTCACGACGTTTCGGCCACAACGCAAGCAGCCGTCCTCAGGTGAAGACCAGGTCTGTCTCCCTTTTACGTGACTTTACCGAAAGAACCAAGAAGATTAATCCCTGCAGTCACAAAAGCTTTAAATCGAAATAATACTTTAATTTTGTAAAGCGTGACTATTATTTTATTTCACCAGTTAAGGCCCACTCAGCTGCATAGCTATTTTTCAAAAGCGACCTGGCCACAAGTGATAGCTCAAAGAAGTGGCTTAAAGCATGGAAATGTATAGCAGCCAGATACTCTAAATGAAAGTTGATTCTGAATGTGGAGGGAAAAACGAGAGAAAAATCCACACTACCACGAGAGACACATGCAAACTCCAAATATGCAAGTGTCAGGATCAGAATTAAACTCACGACCTCCTGTACACCTGGCGAGGTAGTTAACATCTCAGCACCGTTGTGCAACGACGCTGTCCATTAATTATATATAAGGACAAAATCCCATATACGTGGTTGGCTACGTACGGTGCGAAAGAAACCAAACAAACACACCAAGCAAATGAAAACCTAACCACTACCAAGCAAAACAAAATCAACAACTTGAGAAATTTCACCAAAACAAAAAGCGTGGTAACAATCGTTCCATTTATTTAAACCAGCCAAGCCTCACCTTGTCTCAAGACTTTATTTTCCAGGAGAGTGCCACGACACTGCAATGTTTGGCCAATTCCTTTAATTCGCGTTTGGCTTGGTGTGTGGGTTGGACTTCTGAGCACACGAGGCGGGGCTATTAACATTCCATGCAGTCGGATTCACGAATCCGTTTAGTTTGATGCCAACTGCTGGCCACCTCGCAGACCCCAGCTTGCAACGCCTGGCATTACCAGGCATTACTCCGTCGCAAGCACCAGCCATGCTCGCGGACTTTGCCGCTTAGCTTCCAAGATCGAGTGAGATTGGGTGCGTTCAGGGTGATTTGGTCATAGGCCAAGCTGCACAATCTGTGGATATGGAAAGGTCACAAAGCATCCGCAGAGCCATTGCAAGGCGGAGGTTGGCAACATCATGCAAATACCCCAGTTCGCTTCACGTATTACATCAAGAAAGCAATACTTTTATTGGGGCCGTTTCACACCGTCTTGTTCGTGTTGGAATTTACCAGCATCCTGAATTTGTATGATGCGTTAAAATGTATTTTTTATTTCGGTGCAATTGTGAACAACAGCCATATCGGACATTAGTAATCGGCATGATCATTGGTTCACTGCAGCTCAAAGTCTAAATAAGGGTTCAAGAGTTGTTGGCCTTTGACCCCAGACACACGTGAGCAGTGTGCTGGAGGTGTCACGCTATACATGACCTGATCTGAAAGCATCCACACACTCGTAACAGATCGTTCTCAGGCAAGAGCCACTAGGTCCAGGGTTTGGGTGACCAGCGTTTTTGTTATACCCCCCCCCCCCACATCCGTGGCAGTAAGCGCCATGGTTGCACGGTGCTTACCGCCACTGCACCGTAAACCCAGCAAACTTGAGTTCAATTCCAGGCCACGGCTAAACATCAGTGGCGAGCGGTGTCTACACCTGTCCCGAGCCTCCCCTCGATTGCCTCCAGTTTTACGCTGGTGTGGTGCGTAAAAACATCAGCTCTGGGGAGACAAAGGCGGCCTAGGCGTGGTGCTGGCCACACCACCCCCCTCGCGCACCGCATCGGTCTAAATAGGCCATCGTGGTTGCTATTAAGCAACACTGGCGACCGTGCCTTGGCTCGCGTACACCTGCTCAAGCGTAGGCCAGGTGCGCAAGATAGCCGTGGGGCAAATTGGCGAAGCGGGACCATCGGCCGTGCGACAAAGTCAAAGACCTTGCACTGAATGAACGGGTTGATGAGCAGTTGCGGTCTCTCTGTCGCCGTTTTGGCACTTGCTCATGTCAGAGGCACCGAATGTCGTCAGATGGAGCAGTTGGACTTCATTTTAGCTCTCCAGATTGAAGGGATAAAAATGGGGGAAAAGAAAACTAGATTCTAACCCTGAAAGAATAGTTGGGGGTGGGAGGGGAATTAATTAAGTGCGAAAATGTGAAAAGGCGCGAATGTGGAGTGAATCATAAGTGTGAAGCAATGATATAAATATATTCTCACAAAATTATATGAATACGTGAATCGAGTCTGATGCAAGGATATTCTATACGTTATCCATTACCGCTGTTATTGCTGCCGGCGTGTGTCAAGCGCGTAACCTGGTGGTGAGGTGAACGGCGGGGAGAAAAAAAAGTCATTAAATTATTAACGGGCTTATAATATTTTTCTGTATCGCTACGCACTCAATTAAAAATCGAAACGACGCATTAAGATCATTCATCGCAATGCCCGTGTCACGCAAAGACACGTGTTAGCGATGTCACTCCTTGCACACATTTGATCGTAATTATTTTTTATTAATATTATTTAAAAAAAATCAATCGAGGCTTTAAAATTGAATTGACGTTTAACGCTGATTACGCGCCGAATGAAAAAAAAACGGTACGAGGAATACTCTCCGTGTCGCGCTCCGATTTCGGAATTAACCTTTGTGAATTGTCACCCCCGTGGCAGAGAGCTCTGGCGCTTGCGCCGCCGGTTGTCTGGCGTTGCCTCTCTTCTCACCTCCGCTCGTGCCCGCTGAAACTTGGCGACGAACACTTGATCTGTCCGCCCGCCCGCCAATTAGCGGCTTAGCCATGTAATGCACAGGTGGCGGATCTCATGAAGTAATCGTTTGCGGTTGTGGATTTGGGGATTTAAAAAAAATGTATCTTAATTTTTTTTTCAACAAACAAGGCTCTCTTTTTAAATCTACGATTGTGCATAAATGGAAAAGTATTAAATGATTAAGTCAATTCCCGATCAGAGTTTGAGGTTGGGGAGAGGGGTGGCTTTCTAACAATTTCAAGTATTTTTAAACAAGGCCCTACAATAATAATTTTAAGAAAAAGCATTCCATTTCAACTCACACTGTTTATTTATTTAATTAAGAGGTCCTACGGTGGTTAGATGTCATCTTCCTCGCCTGGTATGCAGGAGGTCGGGGGTTCGATCCCGACCCTGACGCCTGTGTCTTTGGAGTTTGCGTGTCTCTCTCACCGTGGTCGCGTGGATTTTTTTTCTTCAGGTCCTCCGGTTTTTCCCCTATACATTTAAAAAACATCAGTTTAGATTATTTTGCTTCCTACAAATGATAAGCCACTTCGATGAGGTTCCATTTGTGGCCAGGTCGCTTTTGAAAATGAAGCGCATAGTTCCGTGGGCCCTACGTGGTCAAATAAAAATATATAGTTTAGTGTTATTTCGATGTTTTCTAACTGATTTGTTTACTTTCCCGATGCTTTGCACCCCTACTGGACATCATAAAGATTATTTTAGGTCAGATCGCGTAAATATAAATGCGTCGTTAACCCCTCACCACCTGACACACGCAATTAGTAAAGCTTGCCACGTAAAACAAAACCTGACAATTAGTTACTGCTTCAGCCCACGGATGTGTTGGAGAGTAAATACACAACGTTTACAATATGAGTAGTACGATGTTTCGCTGCTAATTACACGCGGTATCATCGGGCGCTTTTTTCCAGAGTTGTGTTGATTTGTTACGTGACAAACCTTACCAACAGGCTGTGTCGGGTGGTGGCGGGTCAAACGACACATTCATAATTACGCGATTCTAACCCAACAACAACCTCTGCTGTGAATAATATTGGCCGCGAAAGCCTATTTACGTGTTAGACTGACCTTCTTAGCTCATTGGATTCCTCCAGTAAAACTACACATAGTGATTCTGATCGAATGTATTTTTCCGGTGAATATCAATAAAATGCCAAGGTTTGGGGGCCTCAAGGTGGGAGTCAAATGGAGCGGAGGGGGGGCAGAGGGGGGAGGTAGAAATCTCTCCTACTGCTTCACCCCCCCCCACCGCCCCCATATCTGCCACTGTTACCATTGCGACCCAAGTGATGTTTCAACGTCGCCAAGGGGAGGGCGAAGGTAATTACAGGCGCAGTGAAGGTGGCTCATCTAACTAAAAACAAAATCCAGGCCCAGCGGGGTAACCGAGTTGATACGAACGTTTGAGCAAGAGAAGCAATCATTAACTGGCATTGCAATGGATAGCGCAGTCGAAACGGGCGCGGGAGGACAGGTTAAGAAGCGTACAGAGCATATTTTGTCTGGAATAATAAAATTCATTCTGAGACGGGGGAGAGTTATAGACACAAGAAACGGAAGTGCCGACAGCCCATGGACCCTCTGGACCAAAGTTTTCCAGCAGTATGATGATGTTGTTTTTGTTGTTACTGTTGTTGCCATCCTTTGGGATCCTACTCCTGGGCAAACATCTCTCTCCCATTCTCTCCCATCTCCTCCTTTCCCCAGCTGCCCCAGTCTAGTCGTGGCCTCCTAGCTCTGATGATGCGCCCTCGCTGCTGCTGCTGCCATCTCTTCCGCTCTCTCCTTTCTGCTTCCCTTCTCTGCTCTCGGTCTCCCACTCGGGAGCTGATTCTGTCTCTCGTTAGAACAGCAGCACTCGGGACAGATGGCAACTTTCCGCGTTTCGCCAGCAGAAATGTGGCCAGTTAATCAAATGCCACCCACCCCTACCTCCAAGGTTACCCGATGATGTTCCAGGCAATGGGGCATCTTACTCGGTGCACAATCGAATTTTAACCACTTTTGCTGAACCGCTTTAGAATCGAAAATCGGCGTGCTCACGCAATTTGGCGTTGACGATCTCCGGATCAGAACAGCTGGCCTGCCCCCCGCCCCCCGCCGTGGCCTCCGCTAGCGCGGGGAACCCTCACGCCGCGGTCGGTGGTCTGTGCACGCAGTGGCGCTCGCGACCCAACGGCTGGAGATGAAGTTCGGCACGGTGAGTGCGGTGGCGCTGGCGGCGCTGGTGATGGCGAGCCTCTTGCCGGGCCCGGCGTTGGCGCAGGGCGACCCCTTCACGTCAGGTGAGTGCTGCGTCTGTGCCGCTTCTTAGCCCATCCGATGAGCCGTCCAGGCTCAACCCCTGCGTAGCTCCTGAGACCCGGCGAGGCTGTCGCGGATTTTCCGGTTGACGTATGTTCCGTTTTTGTTCATCGTGGTTGCTGAGCTTTAGCCTAAAACGCAAAGTGGTCAGCAACAAACAGCAGGCCAGATAAAAAACATATTTTTATCAGGAATGTACAATGCTAATAATTGTATTATTACCAGGCATCGCAGTGTTTACAAGTGCATTTTCAAACTCTTATTATCCACTCTTGTTTCTTTCACCTCTCTCTGTGTGTGCCATGAAAAGGGGCCATTGGCAAAAAACGTCGCCAATTATATACTGTGTTGAACCACCAACTGCCACTTGTTGTTTTGTTTCCGAGAATTTGGTTGGACGTGCGGGCAGCACCCCGTGTGCCAAGGACGCCTGGGGCTGCCACCCCCAGTCCTTGCTCCGCCACTGTTTGCCTACAGCGGTTGTTCTGCACTGCAAGACCCGCGGGCTATTGGAGGCCTCGGGTGGCCTTTAGCGCGGGCCCTGACATACGCCCCCCTCCCCGACAATACACAAATGGTGAAAACGCCCCCCATCGTTATCATCATCGTCGTGCTGCTGTCAAACCCCGACAATATACTCTTAGTTCTTTCGGTGAAGTCACGTACCCACGTGACTTTACCGAAAGAACTAAGAGTATGAATCCTTGCAGTCACGAAAGCTTCAAATCTAGAATTAAACCCCGACAGTGCTTTCAAACGTGTGGCGGCCCTCACGCTGATGATGTCTTTTCGGCGAAAGTGCCCCCCCCCACCCCCCCAATCTGAAAATTAGTGATGGACACCGGCTTACCGTGAACGCATTGGGTGACAGGGTGGCGCAGCGGTAAACCGTGTACCTCACAGCAACGAGAGCCTGGGTTCAATTTAGCGACTGTGGTGGCTTTCTGCGTGGTGTTTGAATGCCCCCCGCTTTTGTACGGGTGTCCTCCGGGTTCTCTGGTTTACTCGTAGATTTATCGATGTAACAAAGAAAACATACGACAGAGCTGATATTGGCCAAACATCGTGATGCTGAAAAAATGCATCGGCTGTACCCTGTCCTTCAAGCCTCATCTTCATTCTGGCAAAAAGGGTTCCATATATTAAACAACCTGCTAATTACTCAATTGCTGCTAATTATTAAATGGCTGCTAATTACTCAATTGAGATTACACACACACAGCGTCATCTCTCCCCCTAATGCATACAACTTTCTGGTAAACAAAACAAGCATCATAATAATAATAACCCTAACCGATGATTGCCCTACAACTGCCATCATAGTCAACTTGGAACCGTTAGACAAGCATTGGCCAAAACGTTTGGTCCAACGTTCCGAACCACATACCACACATTGTCGTCATCCCATGCGCGCCGGGGGGGTAGCGCGCCATCACCGCTTTCACATCCACGGCGCGCCCGCCCCCCCGACCGGGTTGGTACTGAGCTCCTCCAGGATGTGGCAAATATCTGCAAACAGACGAGTACTGGAACATCGGGCAGGAGGGCGAGCCGGAGCCGCGATCGTCACAGGGGCGTGACCCCTGGGCGACCTCGGGGGAGAGCGGCCCGACCCCCGAGCCTCCGCCGGAGAGCGTCCTGCCCACCATTCCACCCGTCGCCACGCTCTCGCCACCGCCGCTGCACTTGTGGTTCGAGAGCGGCGAGGACGACAGTGCCGCGTACCTGGAGGACGCCGAGGCCATGCTCGGGGGTGAGCGACAAGTGGGCGAGTGAGCGAGCGAGCGAGTGGGCAAGCGGGCGAGCGAGCGAGCGGGCGACTGAGTGGCGAGGGTTGATGATTAAGAACGAGTTTCACATTTGTTTTGTTGAATCAGTTAAAATAAATGCACTACGAACCCGACGACCTAAGTTTAATTCCCGCTGACGACCAATAACGGCGGTGATTTTCCGGTCCTGGGCCTCCCCTAGGTCGACTCAGCCTCAAATTAGTACCACCACCACGATTGTGGACACCACCATGGCCACTGTGAATCCGAGGTGGGGGCAATTCTCCCACCACTTCCCTCCCGCTCTGCGCCCCTCCCCCATCCCTTGAGATCCAGACAATTGGTATTGTATGAATAATTACTGGAGAAAATACATTGAATGTTACATTTTGCAACATAAATGCACAACCCTGTTTAAAACAGGGTCGCCGCTGTGGCAAGATGTTATCTGTCTCGCCTGGTGTACAGGAGATCGTAGGTTCGATCCCGACCCTGACGCCTCCTGTATATTTGGAGTTTGCGTGTGCTCTCTCCCCGTGGTCGCGTGGATTTTTCACTGCATCCTCCGGGTTTTCCCTCCACATTTATAAAACATGCGCTCAGAATTATTCGGCTGCTATGAACGCCACTTCGTTGAGCTATCATTTGTGGCCATGTCGCTGCTGAAAAAGAGCTACACAGTTCAGTGGACCTCACCTGGTTCAGTAAAAAAAACATCTTTACAATTTAGTTTAAAAAGTTTGGGAGCTTCTCCGCCGGAACAAAATTCTAGCTCGCACCGCTGCCACCGCTGCCAGCATCGACGGGTCGCGTTCGCCGTGCCATGCCTGGTGCGCGCCGGCGGTGACGCGGCTGCAACTTTGTCACCGTCGTCTTCATTGTCGCGGTCTTCGTCATTCCACAGCCTCGCACGATCTGTGCCGCGCGACCCCGATGGACCTGGTGTTCGTGCTGGACGGCTCGCGCAGCGTGCTCGCGCACAACTTCGTCAAGGTGAAGCACTTCGTCAACGCCCTCGTCGACTCGTTCAGCGTGGGGCCCAGCGCGACCCGCGTCGCCGTCGTGCAGTACAGCAGCCGCGTGCGCACCGAGTTCACGCTGGGCGAGTACGACTCCAAGGAGGCTGTCAAGGTGCGCACGCACTCACTCGCTCGCTCACTCGCTCGCTCATTCACTCACTCACTCGCTCACTCGCTTGCCCCCCACACTGCTGGGGCCCGCTGCGTCGCTCGGGCAGGGACGTTGGGGGGGGGGGGTGGTGGAGAGATGCCAATTCTGGGGGAGGATTTTTTATGATTGTCTCTATCCCCTAGGTAAATAAACGGGGTGTTTGGGGAGGGGGCTTTTTTCGTAACGGGAAACTATTGTCGCAAGAACAATAAGGGGGGCGGCCACGCATCACTGGGAGGAGCTGTGGCCGGCGGTCGACACTCGTGACCGGGGGGGGAGCAGCCAAAGGCGGGGGGGGGGGAGTGCTCCTGAAATCACGGCCGCCGCGATGGGAGACGGAGCGATGAATTCTCCCGCGTGCGCTGGTCCTCGAAGGATCGTTTCATCGCAGGATCGCCGCGAGAGGTGGCGGTAGCTTTGGTTTGGGGTAAGGGGAGAGGGGGTTAGGGGAGGGGAGTTTAGGGGAGGGGGGGTTAGGGGAGGGGGGGTTAGGGAGGCCTTAGTCCAGCAGTGGGTGGACCGTGTCCGACGGTGTCGACGACGACCGTGAACGTCGTTGACCGTTACCCGATGAGAGTCTGCGTGTCAAATTGAATGAATGGCTGTCGCCGCCGCACAGGCGGCCGTGATGCGCATGAGCTACATGGAGGAGGGCACCGTGACGGGCAAGGCGCTGAGCCACATGACCGAGAAGAGCTTCAGCCCCGAGGAGGGGGCGCGACCCAAGGGCCTCGGCGTGCGCCGCGTGGCCATCGTCATGACGGACGGCCGCTCCGCCGATGACGTCAAGGTATAGCGCGACCCACCACCACCACCGCTGCCACCATCACTGCCACCACCACCACCGCCACCACCACCACCGCCACTGCCACCGCCACCACCATCACCGCCACCACCACCGCCACCACCGCCACCGCCACCACCACCACCGCCGTCACCACCGTCACTGCCACCGCCGCCACCGCCACCACGCTCGCCCACGCTCGCTCGTCCACCCTCAGCCAATTGTCCCGCTACTCGTCCGCTCGCTCGCGAGTTGCAAGTCTCAGCCCACGATCGCTCGTTGCCCGGAATCACCCAATCACCATCTTCCTCCACTTTTGTATGGCAAGGTCAAGTTTAGCAACGTTAGCCGTGTGAATATTCTTAATCTATGGTTCTTTCGGTAAAGTAACGTAGATGGAAAATTTAATAACAATAAAAAATGTAAAAATTTAAATAAAGTGAATGTCGAGGCGAATCAGCCGTTCGTTAGCCCCTGTAGAAGCTTTTTGGATGTCGTTGTGGGATAATGAGACCGATGGTCTTGGCTCTGGTGACCACGGCAGCCATGTTCACTGACCTGCGCTCACCCGCTCGTCACTCGCCTTAATTCCGGTACTCGCCCGCACGACTGCGCATTTGTGAAAAAAAGTTTCGTAGCTCATCGGATTCCTCGAGGATAAATGTCACGATGATTCTGATTCCGCCTCGCCGACACTAATTCGCCCGCTCGACTTCACAGCCACTCGTCCGCCACTACAAATTCCTCGTCGCTTGGTGAACAGGTTCACCCGGCCGGCCGACATCTGCCGCTGTGTTCACGCGTGCGCGTCCAGGACTCGGCGCGTGCGGCGCACGAGGACGGCATCCTGGTGTTCGCCCTTGGCGTCACGGACAGCGTGGACGTGTCGGAGCTGGACGCGATCGCGTCGAAGCCGTCCAGCGCCTACATGCACCACGTGGACGACTTCGACCTGCTCTCCAAGCTGCACGTGCAGATCGTGCGCAAGATCTGCGAGGGCCTCTCGTGCCTGGGTGCGACGGGACGCGACGGCGTGCCCGGTGAGACCCGCGCCGACGACGCCGACGCCGCAGTGCGCGCGCGTGCGCCCGATGCGAGTGAAACGCAATCACGCGTGGATTTACGCGGCGCCTAAATGCGAGCGCCGTCGTGAGATACCGCACAGGGTCAGAGGGGCATATTCCATCGGTTAAAAACGTCGCAGTTACTGAAGAAGGCCCCGGGACGCGGGAGCAAAACGTCGGACGCCGCGCCGAGCGACGCGCGGCACCGACGCTAAACGAAGATCGCCCGCTTCCAACGGAGTCGTCGGGGCAAAATCTCCCGACGGAAGATACTTCCTGACGAGGCTTTTTGCGAGCGAGCATTTCAAATGATAATAATAATAATAGTGGTAATTATTATTAATTGCATTTCCGCGAAGGAAGTGGGCAAACATTGCGAAGCCCCAGCAGTGCGCAGGCGACGTGAAGCCCCGGGATTAAGGACCTGTCCCCATCATTATCCTCAAGCACGCACGCAGCGTGAGTGCTCGCCAAGCTGGCCCTTAATGCATATTTAAATAGCCAAACGTCTTTATTAATGAGCTGATGGGCAAATGTGTGCCGTTAATGAGGGCCGCGTTTTAATGAGGGTGTGTGTGTGGTGGCGGGGGGGAGGGGCGGGAGGGGGTTTGGTCTAAATCGCGATGACAAAGTTGAATTTTTTGGCTTTTGAAGCCCCGCATGCCTCGGAGTGAAGTTGAACACTTTTAGTGAATTGGTTGATGTAAATGTATGCAAATGAAGGGCGATTCATTAAATCGTGCACGTCTCGGTCTATTTGAGAAGTAACAAATCGTTGTAGGCTCCCGTGTCAAATTACCATTCAAGCACTTCACGAATAAGCAAACTGCAAATATGTGTAGAGAAGTTACCGACGGACGTACTCGGAGACGGAGGTAAGTTAGGGGCTTCCGCCAGGGTTTATTACTCTTGGTCAAAACTACACAGGGTACACAACTCCCAGGGGCTAGGGGTCCTACTCTGAGTCTGGGTCCCTGCCGGCTAGCTCCGGTCTCTCTCTCGTGTCGGATCGTGGAGTCTGCCGACTCCACCGACCGGAGAGAGAAGCACCTCTTCGGCTACCACCGGCTTCTCCCCAGACTCCCTATTTGATCCCTCTCACTATCCCTGGTTCCCTCTTCACCCTGTTTACTATCCCCGTTCCTATAGTGACCCCGCTTACGTTACGGGGTCTCCCTTATATACCCTCGGAGGGGTGATGTCGCGTGCACTGCCCAGCGCGTGCGACCCCACGTCCCGTGAGGTCACCGCACCTGACAGCGCACACGACGCCACCACTCTCCACTACTCCTCTACATATGTAAGCGCCTCTCTCAACGGCATTGAGGAGTTGATTCATTTTTATTTTGTTTAACATCGTTGCAAATGTTCGTGCCTCTAGTGGAGGGAATGCATAAAATAAAAAGCACTCGACTCTTACGTGCTCCGATCCAAGACGTGTATCGCGAGCTCAATAATCGAGGCGGCTCATTGGTCAGCTCACCGTGCTATGAACCCGGTGACCTGAGTTCGATTACAGGGTCATGTCCCAACCACTGCACAATTTTTTTACCGACCTTGTAGATCTATTGAAAGCCTTCTGGCTTATTGAAAGGCACCCGTAGTACATCGCTCTACTTCGGCACCTGATTTAGCGTTCACTTTGTTGCTTCGTTTCTTCTTTTTTTCTTTCTTCCAACATCTTAACGCCCCAGGGACCGACCTGGTGAAGGAGTTCGGTCTGGCGACGGCTCCTGGAGTGACGTCGGTGGAAGGAAGCTCCTCGGATCATCCCGCGTTCCACCTCGACGCTTCCGCCAGCCTCATCAAGGACACCGTGTACGTGCCGCTCGCTCGCTCGCCCGCCCGCACTCACCCCCAGCTACCCCCCCCCCACCCCCCGTTTCTCCCCTCTGACCCCCGTCCCCCACAACCTCCGGTCACCAGTCCGCACCAACGCAAGGTCAAATAACCCCGCCCGAGAGAGGAGCTCCGTCTTACTTGGGAGCCGGCCCCTTCTGCCAGCAGTGCCTGAGCAAGTGGTCGCAGGGCCGAGCCTTTGCCTTTTAACCCCACCCCCCCCCACCGCCCTGACGAATGTCCTTCACCCGCCGTGCCGACGCGAAATATTTTTTGCGGCTTTAGCGGCGAAGGGGGAAGGCATCGTTATGACGACGTGGACGACGGACGATGAGGACGAAGACGATCGCGGTCAATCTCAACCTGCCGTGCCTTGCAACGGTTCGGCTTCTCTCTGAAATCTCGAGGCTCGGCTGAGGTGTTAATGGTCACGTTTGGTCAGTGCTCACTTTGGGTGCAGGCAGCCGAAAATCTTGCTTTGGGAATCAGGCTGTGGACCATTTCTGCCGCGTCTTTTGCGCGTCGCCGGCGGTTTGGGGCGCCACGGTGACGAAATGTTAACTCCCTCGCCTGGTATGCAAGAGGTCACGGATTTGATCCCGACCCTGATTGCCTGTATATTTGGAGTTTGCATGTTCTCCCCGTGGTCATGTGGATTTTTCTCCGGTCGTGCCCTGTATTTGGCATCAATGTGTCATCCCACAACTGTTGTCAGGCCTGGAATCAGGCGCGCAGGTGTGTGCCGTAACATTTGCCTCTTTAATTGACCCCCCACTTGGCCTCTCGAAATAGCCGCCTCAAGATGAATGTCACAAAATCCCTCCTCCTACGCCTAGCGCAATTTCCAGCCGCCATCTGCTTTCAGACTTAAATATTTGCGACTGCCCTAATCGTTGAACGCACACGCCCTAACCGGTCGTTCGTTACCTGGAGCGTGCGGGCACCCAGAATCCTTTCACAAACACTACATTTTGACGAATGCCGAAAAGCAGTGCCGTGCCCTGGCCGGCCCACGCTTGCAATGGGCCAGAAGAGATTATTTCTCATCCCCGGCACCTCAAGGCCCGGGTGGCTACGTGGGGGTAATAGCCCTCCTCTGTCTCTCGCTGGCCCTGCCGCCCGCCCTTCCTATTCCATCTTTGATTGCGAGGAAGCGCTCACGAAAGTCACTCTCAACGAGGCCCAACGAATGCCTTCACGGTGAAGGTTGACGCTGCCCAGAGTTGAAATACCTCAGTTTTCTTCGTCTTCGGTCGTGGACCTTAGTGGCGTCGCGACCGCTTTGTCTCGAAGGCGACACCGGTAGAAATTGTGGTCTGACACTGGTGGTGAGACATGGCCATGAAGAAGGATGTCTCTGGTGTAGGCCAATCAGTTTCAGAGGCAACGCATATATTACACTGGTCAACAAAAAAAAAACTTTTTTTCTGGCCTGGACTTTTGCAGCTGACTAATTTCAGGGTGCTGATTCCAAATCTGATCTCAGATTTTCTCTATCACATCTCATCTTTATGCTATCGGCATACCCCATTTTCATTGATTTTACCCGAAATTAACTCTGTCACTTATGATTGCAAGTTGTTGCGAGTCAGTGACTGCTTTAGTGTTAAAATATGGTGCTGTATTTTCAGGATAGTGTGTTTATAATATAATTTTATGTAGATATCCACATTTATTTAATATTTTTCTTCTGCAGTTTTTATTGAAAATGCAATATTTGATATCTCAAAAAAAACCTGATGTGATAGATAAAAACTGCCAGATTTGGAATCGGCACCCCAAAATTATCCTTAAAACCGTTGGAATACCTTATACCAGAAAACGTGTGTTGACCAGTGTTATAAAACCGTTGGAATACCTTATGCCAGAAAAAGTGTGTGGACCAGTGTTATCAGAGCACGTTTGTTGGCATGGTTTATTTTGCCACAAGTGCGTGGCGCAGTTGGTGCAGACTTGATGCCTTGCAAGAGGTGTGTCTACTTGGTGTTGGAACATTTTAACACCTGTCCTGTTCTGTTGCCAGACAGGGTAAAGTTCCTACCTGAAGACGGAAGCTTGTGTTGCCGTCCGAAACGTCGTGATTTTTATTTTATTTTTATTTTACTTTTATTAATCTAGATTTTTTTTACCTACGTGACTTTACCGAAAAAAACCTAAGAATATGAATATAGGGTAAAGACTATTCTTGTTTTTCGTCATTGTTGATACTGGCAAAAAAGGTCCCGCAATTATTTATACTCGCTTAGTCATGGGGCAACAATCACAAATAAAACAAAAACTCAACATATTTATGATAACAAAATTAATAATTTAACTATAGAGAGCGTCATTCATGCTAATTGTATCCCACAACGCCGTACATTAATTATATACAATGGTCACATCCTACGTATAGCAACTACCTAGCAAATTAAAACCCATCAGAAATGTTAGTTTAAACAACAAAGAAGAAACGGCACGAACAACAACAAAAAAACATCACAACAGAGAAATTAGTTCATTATGTCACATCCCCGACCGCCAATGCCAACTTCACCATAAATTGAACATTGGTGATGATGTTTGGCACGTGACACTTCTCCTATCGCCCAGCTTCTACTGCTGCTGGCTGTTACCCTGATCAAGGCACCCAATGGGAATCCCAGGCGCAGCCGGGCGGAGGGAGGGGGGGGTCATCTTCCCAGTGGCCGTGAGGAAGGTGGCCGTGGAACCTATCGCTAAAGCGCCGGTTCCATCATCGTCGCTTCATCTGACCGCTCGATTCAGGTCCCTCCACCCGTTCGGGCTGCCCAACGAGTTCGCCCTGGTGGCCACGCTGCGTCTGCCCATCGCGATCAACTCGGAGGCGCCCTGGAGCCTGTGGTCGGCGCGTTCGCCCGACGGCGAGGAGCAGGCCTCGCTGCTCGTCGACGGCCCCTCGCGTTCCGTCGAGTTCTCGTCGCGCCGCTCGGGGAGGCACACCTTCGGCCAGCTGGACGCGCTCTTCGACGGCGAGTGGCACAAGCTGGCGCTGTCGTCGCGCCACGGCCGGGTGGCGCTGCTCGTGGACTGCCGCGCCGCCGGCGCGTCCGACGTGTCCGAAGCAAGGGACGAGGCGGTCGTTGAAGGCGGCACCACCGTCGTTGCGCGCCGGGCTGACGGGTCGACCGTTCCGGTTCGTCGCGCGCCCCGCCGGCACGTCGGTCGGGGTTCAGGCCGATTGGCTCGACAGCTACACGGAGGGGAAAAATCTCAACGATTGTTGGTTTTGCGATGGTTAGCTTGAACATTGCCAGCCCGCAATGATGTCCCGTGGTGACTGCTGCCACCACCCGCGCCTCTTGGGCTGTGGCCGTCCATGTTTAAAGAGCTGCTTGAGCTCAATGGGGCCTTACTGGCTGAGTTTTGACAGCCAACCCCGAGACCTGCTCGCCAGTGTCCCAGCTAAACTGTTCAGGAGGCCTCGATGCAGCAACGGCAGCTGGCACCACTGCCACTGTGACTGCTTTCATATATGGGGTGCCATGGTGGTGAGATGTTAACTATCTCACATGGTATGCAGGAGGTCGTGGGTTCGATCCTGACCCTGATGCCTGATGTATATTTGGAGTTTGCATGTCTCTCTCTGCCCGTGTTCGTGTGGATTTTTTTCCTGGTCCTCCAGTTTTTCCTTCCACATTTAGAATCGACATTTTATTCTATTTAGAATGTATCAACGCCCTTTCTAGGGCGCTGTACAACGCAAACTGACGGCGGTAGACAATTGGGGCAAAAGGGGAGCAACGGGTGGGGTTGGGTGGAGCGTCTGTCAGTGAGGTAGAGGTAGGTGACGGAAGGGATGGAGAGACAGGGGCTGGGAATGGAGCCACGTGATGTCGCAAGGGGTAGTGAAGGAGGAATAAGGTGGAGTGTGATCATGAATGAAGGTGACAGAGGGGTGCAAAGTGGATGAGAGACAGCGGCAGGTATAGGGCACAGGCGTAACGTGGCAAGATAGATAGGTGCTACGGCTGGGCATGGATGAGGAGGGTAAGTGAAAGGAGGTACGGGCAGAGGTCTGGTGGCCGCATGGTTGGGCTGATTGAGGAGCACAGCGGAGGACTGGGCGACAGAGGTGGTTCAGTGATTTGCTTACATTCTAGATTTGAAGTTTTCGTAACTGCAAGGATCCATGCTCTTTGGTTCTTTCGGTAAAATCACGTAGGTAAAAAATAATAAAAGTTTTTAAAAAATGAAAAATAAAATAAATGTTTTTTTTATAAAATAAAAATTAAAAATTAAATAAATGTATTTTTCTTTTTTTTTATAGATTTGCTTACCTTTCCTATACTTTTAGCTTTTGTCGTGTTTTTGTATTGTTTGTCGTTGTAACGGTCTGACCCCGTGCCCCCTATTGGACATCCTTCGGGGGGGAAACAAAAAAAATAGCTTCACAGCTCAGCGTCAACAAAAAATATCTGCGCACCGATGAAGTTGCGACGTCGTCTGGTTTTGCGACCTGATGCCCGATCGCGTGTCCGACCGTGCCTGGCTGTAGATCGACGTGCAGCAGCTGCAGGTGTACTGCGATCCCGAGAGGGCCTCGCTGGAGGTCTGCTGCGAGCTGCCGAACGTGGTGAGTCAGCACCGCCGCTGGAACCGCCGTCGACCAACTTGGAAGGGCGGCACGGCAGGAGCTGCTTTTGTTGTAGTCGTGATAATTATTGTTTTGATTCAACAAGAGGCCGGGGGACAAAGCACCGTTCAGTTTGCCGTCCTTCCCACCCGCACCTCCGATTAGCACGGTTGGGGGCCGTCCATAAATGACGTCACGCACCTAGAGGGGGATGGGGGTCAGACATTTGTGACGATGTGTGACGATGTGTGACGAGGGGGGAGTTGAGAAATGTGACGTCACATCAAAATGCGCAACTTTAAATAAATATAGACAACACGTTCTGCTTAATTAAATTGACTTTTTTAATAAATGTTTTCTCCTACAACATCAGAGTGCAGCGGCACATTAAATACGCACTACAATGACAATAGTTTAAAGCGATTTGAAGCATGTTTTATATTTTTTATGGGGGGAGGGCAGAGCTTTGTGACGTCATATTTGAGGGGGAGGGGTCTGACTTTTTGTGCCGTCGTGTGACAAGGGGGGGGGGAGGGTCAAAAATCGTCCAAAATCGCGTGACGTCATTTACGGACAGCCCCTTGGCTACGTACGGCGTGAAAGAAGTTCAACGCGCACATGAGCACGAGCGACGTGGGAGAGGGTAGGGGGGGGGTTATAGATGTTCGGCGGACAGAAAACCCCGAGGCCAGGTGCCCTTGGGGCAGGGGAGAGGGCTGGTGGTTTGGGCTCAACCCCCCTACTCACTTAGGGGCAACCCTTTTATTGTAAGACAACGCGAGGAGTTGAACACGCACACGTGCGTACTCACTTCTCCGACTCGACATCAATAACAATACTCGGGCCCCACGTCAACCCACTGCTTTAGATGGAAAAATGTGAACACTTCTGAGAATTTGCAACAACGCCACGATAAATGTGCTGCCTCCGAGCTCTGGAGACCACCTGGAGAAGATTCCAGGCACGTGTTGACAATGTTGGCGAACAAGTGGAGACTCTTTGAACTTTTTAAAGCTATTAACATTTACATTTGTTATCACGTTACAGTGTATTATCTTCTTGGTTCTTTCGGTAAAGTCACGTCGAAGGGAAGTAATAAAATAATAAAAATAAAAATAATAAAATAATATAAAGTCCGATATAAGTGTTAACATTTTTTTGAAGCACCCCGTCTTAAGAATCCAAAGTTCACGTCCGCAGTAGGTCCCAGCTTGCCCTCTCTCCGACTCCCCCCTTAATGAATCCCACGGTCCCATTGGCAGCTGCCTGGCACCCTCCCCGCTGTGTGAAGTTGGCCTCCCCGATAGACGAGGTTCACTCGTGCGTTGGCCCAGATTCGGGTTCGTCATCTTGGTTTAGCAACAGCAGTGAATACTCCCCCCCCCCCGTTTAACACGTAGCAGGCTTTCGCGACCAATATTATTCATAATCAACGTTTTTGGGTTTAGATCGCGTTATTTATAAATGTGTCGTAACCCTCCACCACCCGACACGGCCAATCAGTAAAAAAGTGTTACGTTGACAAAAGACAAATAGTTCACTGCTTTAGCCCACCGGTGTGTTGAAGCGTGAAACCACAACATTTACAATTTGAGTACGTCTGGCGAATTGCCCGATGATGCTGGATGCAATTAACAGCGAAACGTCTGCATTGGGTTAGCTCTGCATATGAATGTAACCGTGCATCGATTAGTCGATTCTTTAAAAAGCAATTATTATTTTCACGATACGAGCATTATCCCTGTGCCGGTAAGAAGTGGGGTTGCCACCCGTTCTGGTTTTCCCAGAATTGACCTTTTTTATTGAGGAGGTAGCTCTTCTGCGAAGTCTGCAAGTCTTCCCGGGAAGTATGCACGTATATATGTTGAACTTTTTTCGCACCAGCCGTGCTAATCGGTAGTGTGGGACATTGCAAGTTCTGGCATTTGTCAGTTGCGTAATATAACGCGCTACTCAAGACAATTTATTTTCGTGCACTTTTCCCCTCGTTTGCCCTTGCGAGGAATTCTTTTTTTCTTTCCGTCACTCGTCCCGGGTTTTGTGTACCTCCGAGGTGGCGGCGGCGCTTGTGAGACTCGATGATGATTCGTGCAAACACAGACGACCGTTGATTCCACCGAGCACGTGGCAATGCGTTGATGTATCGGTTACAAATGTCGCGCTCCCGATAGATGCGAGTGAAATTTTATTACTTAGCGATTAATGCAAATAATTTGGCCACGTCACTATGTAGGTTAAGGCGTGGACAACCACTGTGCAAAGTGTGATCAACAAACAAAGATATTCAGACATGATGCGGTCCAAAATGAGACAAACAGGAATTGAGCAGTCGTGTAACCACGTGGAGATTCATTGATTGAAATCCACCTTTCCAGCCATGATACATCCATTAGGTCATCAGGCGTTTCCACTTTCCAACATTTACTCCCCTTTACCAATTGACCTCCCTTTCAAACACAGTACAAATTAACTCGTTGCACGCTGCACACGCCTGATGATTGATGAAAACGGCCCACGTGACGCACTAGGCAATCGACTCTACGTGCGTCACGCGGAGCACGCGCGCGCGCAAAGATTTTCGATCTTCGTGTGCGAATGTGCTCCGTCAAACGCGGACGGCGGCAATTGCCCTAGCGCATCACGTCGGACGCGCTGAACAAACATCGGGCGCGTGGTGCGTGCATTGAGTGAAATTTGTATTTGAATGGAGAGAGTAAATTGGTCAGCGGAGGGGGAAAACGTAGCGTGGCCGTGGGTCGCGAGGACTGGAGTGTGGGAACACATTTTAACCTGAAACACGTGACGTTGCTCATACTCTTGGGTCTTTTGTTCAAGTCAAGTAAATAAAAAATAATAGCTCACGACGTTTCGATCGCAGCACAAGCAATCGTCTTCAGGTGAAGACGATCTATTATTTGTTTTTATTAACGCGACTTTACCGACAGACCCAAGAGTATGAATTCCTGCGGTCACGAAAGCTTTAAATCACGTGACGTTCTATTCTCACTCGTTGCATGCCACTTGTTCACGGGACCCCCGGTAGCCGCTAGAGGGCTCTACATTTTAGTTATGTCGTAGGTTTACTCTCCAACACGCCGGTGTTGCTGAACTAGTTTTACGCGACTAACCCTATTAATTGGCTGTGTCGGGTGGTGGTGGTGGGTTTAACGACACAGCATTTATCGATCTAACCCCCCCCCCCCCCAAAAAAAAATATCTATTACGGATATACTGGTCGCGATAGCCTACAACGCGTGAAAACTTGACTCACTGGTATTAACAAAAATGAAGAGAACAAATCTAGAATGGAATCGTCACGTTGTAGAATCGTGGAAATTCCGTCGGATCTCTGTGGGGGTGTCGTAGTCGGTCGGGGGCTGGAGTCGTGCACCCTCAGCCGTGTCACGTCCTTTGGGCTGCAGGCAGGCGTTCTCGCTTGAGGACGCGGATAAAAGAATACTAATTAAAACTTGATTTGAAGCTTTCGTGACTGCAGCAATTATAATAATAATTGTTAAATAATAATTGTCGCGCGCGCAACAGTGAAAGAACCAAAAAAAATATCCGTTGCTGATCTTTTTGTTAATTTGTATTTTTTTTTATTGTTGTCCCGTGTGTCTCCGTTTCAGATTGACACCAGGGTAAGTTGCGCATCTCGTGCCCTCTCCTGCACACACACGGACACGCGCACGCACACGCGTGAGCATCCACAATTTGTACGCGGCTAGCGTTGGCAGGGACCATCCCAACGACACGGCAACCCGTGTTCAACTCTCACACAAGTGTGTGAGGCTTATTGAGGCTTGACCTGCGTTTTAAAAAAAACCCGAAGCGATTCAGCGCACGTGAAAATCACTTCGAGTGTTGTGTTTTCTGTTGTTGCTGCTGTTGTTATCGTCGCTCGACGCATGCGTTAAGCGGTTGTTTGATTTTCTTTTGTCCGTGCGCTGAGTTTAATTTGTGCCGCCCAGTAGTCGGCTCCCACGCACAGTAATACTCGCACGGGGAGTTGATTAAAAAGTAATTATCCCAAAGCAGCGTTTTATTTATATCATTAATAATTTTAATAAACGAAAAGTGTCAAAATGCATGCATCAACAAACAAATATTTTGTCACACTCTTCAAATCCAGTAAAAGTTTCGGAAATAATTACTGAGAGTCTGGCGAGATCTTTTCTGTGTAAACAGATTAATTTCTCTCATATAATTATTACCGATTGATCATCTACATGCCTGATGAGACTTTTCTAATGCACACGCGCACGCACCACCGCACAGATTGCTATTGCCATCTTGAAGTGGTTCTCCAACCCCGCCATCGTGAGGCGCTGCCTTCTTCTTCACGCTTGGTTTGAGCTCTCTCACGACGCCCGCTTCGTTACCCCCCCCCCCCCCTCCAGTGCGCCCCGCGGGTCCTCGTGGTTCCGACGCCACCGCCGCTCCCGTCGCCGCAGCCCGCGCCGGCAGCCGAGCCTTGCACGTGCCGGATCGGACGCCTTGGACAGCCTGGGTTTCCTGGGACAAAGGCATTCGCACGCGCAATCACACACACGCACGCGATCACACGCATCGGAATGAGCGGTATTGCCAGCTGTAACAAACAAAAAATGTGTTCCCTAGATCGCCCTCTTCATGTGGTGTAGGCATCCCTAGGAAAGCCTAGGGACGGCTCATTGCGACGCGAAAAGTCCTGGGTTTTTTGTTGTTGTCGGTTGCGTAGTAATAACCATAATAATTATAATGCACCGTGTGAGATATTCTTGTTTCCAGATTGCGTCCCCCAGTCTGTTGTAGTTTAGAGGTAGCAATTTTAGGACGGATGTGAAATGCGCTGTTTTAGCCATGCGTACACAGGTTGACATCTCGCTCTATGTGGTAGTCGTAGTAGTAGATGCGTTCCGAACAAAGAGCACGCAAAGTGAAACTGCGCGAGTAGCACACACACACAGTACCGACGCACAGTACACACATAGTACACACATATTGCACACACAACGCTGTCCCATGTCCGACTGGATAACGGTGAAGGGCACCACCCACATTCGCCTTTTTCTTCCCAGTGCTGATACTTACCGACCGCGCCACGTGGCTCATTCAACAATTAGTCGAGGCCCAAGCACCGCACAACAACAACAATAGCCGCCATTCGCCGCGGTGACGTCACCACGGCGCTTGTGCCAGGCTAGGTGCGCTTCGAGGCCACGTGACGTGTCGAAGGCTCGTTGGCAAGAGGTCACGGGACAGACCCAGGTGGCATGGGTTGACTGGCTGATCACACGCAAAGGCAAAGATCCTCCCCGTATAGCCTTAAAAAATTGTTGGGGCAAGTGGTGTTAGTGAGTAGCACCTGTGAAGGCCGAGACGGCACAAAAGGGGGTGGGTGGCCAACACCACGCCCGGCCGCCTTTGTCTCCCTAGTGGTGATGTTTACACACCACACAGGGGCAACTCATTTGAGGCTGAGTCAACCTAGGGGAGGCCCGGGACAGGTTCAGATAATTGTCAATGGTGTTGGCCGTGAGCGGAAATCGAACCCGGGTCGCCAGGTTCGTATCGCAGCGCACTAACCGCTACACCACCGCTCCCCAAGGGGCATGGGTCGACTAGCTGGCCACACACACACCGACCTACACAGAGTCCATTTCCACAGACGAATGTTTACCTACGGTTGTTTTCTTGCGCAAGCTTTGGGCCGGATTTAAAATAATTCAAACCAAAGGGAAAATATGATCTCGCTCGTCGTCGTCGTCACTACCAGCCTTCGAGCGGTAAAAACGCGTGTGCCTTCAGTGTCATCTTGTCACCTCATTGGCATGCAGTTCGTGTGCAGCGTGTCCCGTGGGAGATATTCAACTCGCCTTTGCTCTCATTTACAAAATGTTGTTTTGCTTGATACTCAACGGCTCTGAGCATCACAAGATTAACAAACACATCTATTACATCCATGATACAGGTGTTTTTTGGGGGGGGTTAGATCGCGTAAATATATAAATGTGTCGTTAAACCCGCCACCACCCGACACAACCAATTAGTAAGGTTTGTCACGTAAACAGAACGTGCCAATTCGTCACTAGTACAGCACACCGGTGTGTTGGAGAGCAAAGTCACAACATTAGCAATCTGAGTACCATGTGTTGCCAGTAACTACAACCAGCTTCATCAGGCGACAGCCAGATTTGTGGAGAAATCATCCTGTTACGTTCCTGAAATAGAGGGGTAGATGTGATGACGACACTAGTGTGCTCTTCTTGTTCCTGTTGTCGTCATCGTTTTAGCAGCAGGCTTTGCACCCTTGTGCCGTTCGCATATTTCACCATTTGTTTCATGTTTTTTTTTTACTTTGAAACCAGGGTCCAAAAGGCAACAAGGGAGAATCTGGATTCCCCGGGAAGCAAGGTCGAGCGGTAAGCACAGCAACCAGCGTCGTGCCCCGAAGCGACGAATCCATTCAGCGCTCTTGCGGAGAGCCCTTGCGTGCGACACACACCCGTGCCAGAGAACATCTTGAGCAGAATGGGATATATATCACCATACTTGACCATGCTGGTCAGTGTAGGGCTGGTAAAGAGGTGTGGTGGGGAGGAGGCAGGACCGGTTTAGGCTATCACCTCGCCGCCGAATTTAGCCGTGGCCTGGAATCCAACTCGGGTCCGCTCCACAGAGGCACCTGGGGAACACAAGTCATTTTATTCGCGTGCGGATGGCGGTTTGACAACTGGATTATGGCAATCTGGACGTCACAGGGGCCGGTTGTAATAGTTGGGGTTTGGTACAGAGCCAGGTTTAGAGGCTCTGGTGCGGGGTGAACATCCCAACTCTGTTTCGTTAATGGGACGTTAAAGAAACGTAGACAGAAGCGGGTTCTGTTGAATGCTCTCACACCAAATTTATTACTGAAGGTAATGGTGGTGCTTTTAAATAATTTGGCGATACAAGTTTAATACAACTAAAAGTTAAATAATTTTGTTCAAGGTACATGACTCTTAATGGTTCCATCAACCTCATGTTTAGTAATGAGGGGCAATGAAAATCTGCATAATCACCTCTCTGAACTGGGATTTCATTTATTTCTGGGCCGTTGGACAGTTTTGTGATAATTTATGCAAATGTGTTTGGGTTTTATATATATGCCAGCTCTTGATGACTCGCGAAAATGGGCAGAATTTAATTTAAGGAGTGAAATGAGTGATTTTTTTTTCGGTACATATTTTAATTATATTCCCTGGTATTTATTTATATCGCTTTTTTTTCGTCTCTCTTTAATCTCTCTCTCTCTGTCTCTCTGTCTCTCCCGCAGGGATACCGAGGCTTTAAAGGAGCCCGGGGGAGAACCGGGGACGGTGGCCTCACGGCAAGTTGCTTCCTCCTTGGCTTCGCCCGTGTGTTCAGTCGTCTTTGTGTGCCCTGTGTTCCCACTGGACACAAATCCCTCCCCCACCCCCCCCCCCCCCCCGCATTTGCTCGTTCATTCTCATCGCCCGAGGTGTGCACGCGAGTGATCGTGCCTTGCTGATGATCACCGAGCAAGGACGAGTCGCAATCCGGCGTTATGTACGCTGCAGGCCAACGACCCTAATGCCTCTCTTCTTTATTTGAGCCTCTTTTGATGGGAATAAAATATTGTTTGAAAGTGAAGCTTGCAAATGCGTAAAGGCAACACTTTGTGTATGCTTGCAATTAATTTTAAGATCAAGTTTATTCAATTTTATTTTTGAGGTCTTTTGGAATTGTGTTACATTTTGGGGATTAACATGTGATACATGTGAATAGGCTGCATTGCTCATGCACACACTGTAATCGTTTTAATACATTTTATATTAAGCAAAAGACATTTGACCATTTTTACCTAAAAATTCTTTAAAATCAAAACGAATGCAATGTAAACTTGTTTACATTTTGATGATTTAAGCAAAAGTAAAGTTCGCGTTTCGTAGAAATTACTTTGAGAAACGGCACTTTCGACAGGAAAGAAGGCAAAAGTGATGTCACTTCCTATGACATCACAGTATTTCAGATCAGTTCGGAACAACTAATTCATCTTATTGGTTCTTTCGGTAAAGTCACGTAGAAGGGAAGTAATAAAATAATAAAAAATAAAACATAATAAAATGAAACATAATAAAATTAAATATTTTATTTTATTATGTTTTATTTTTATTATTTTATTACTTCCCTTCTACGTGACTTTACCGTGACTTTACCGAAGAACCAAGAAGATGAATCCCTGCAGTCACGAAAGCTTTAAATCGAAACAACTAATTCATTTTGAGAATCATCCAATAAATTTGGATCAATCAAAAAATCTGGGAAGCATCCAAGTTTTTTTTTTTTATAGCAATAAGACTGGTACAATTTTTTTGTATCTTGTGCTATTCATCAGTAGCAGACTTTGCTCGCTTTTTATTGGCTGTAGCCTCACACCCCATAGGAAGAAGACTACTTGGTTCATTGATGGTAGAGATCGTACATGTGTGCATGTTTCACAGGGGACTTAAAGCAATGTAGGCCTTTATACTCTTAGGTTTTATCGGTAAAGCCACGTAGGTAAAAAATAAAATAATAAAATAATAATAGGAATAAAATGAGAAATCAATCTCTACCATCATTATTTTATCATCAGTGATTTATTATTTTATTTATATTATTATTTATATTATGTTTATTTTTATTTTTTTACCTACGTGACTTTACTGAAAAAAACCTAAGAGTATGAATCCTTGCAGTCACGAAAGCTTCAAATCTAGAATGTAGGCCTTTAGGCTGATAGAATTAAATATTGGTATTGAAGTCCTTAGTAGTCCTCCCTCTCTATATACATACTGCATCGATACATTCAAATCAGTTTAGACTGCAGCCTCACTCACGCATGCACGCACACGCACGCACACATGCAGTTTGACAAGTAAGGCTTTCGCTGCCAATATTATTCAGAATAAGCTGTTTTAGGGTTAGATCGTGTAAGTATGAATGCTGCCGTTAACCCACCAGCGAAACGTCGCACACAAATTCTGAATGTTGTGGATTTGCTCTCCAACACACCGGTGTGTTGAAGTAATAACTAATTTGGCTCGTTTGGTTTACGTGACAAACCTTACTAATTGCCTGGGTCGGGTTGTGGCGGGTGAACGACACATTTATATTTGCGCCATCAAACTTAAAAAAAAAAATCACCTTCATTGTGAACACACACAGTGGCGTGTGGCGTGCTACCTCTGTGCCTTGCATTGCCACTTGAAAATTTAATTTTGAAAGTTTTCCGCTTCTGTGTTTTCCAGATCTCTGCGGACCCTGCGTCTGTTACCGCTCAATAAATGTCGTCGCTTTCTTCATTTGTCTCCGTAGCCCCGAGTATTGGTTTCAATCGGTTGAGGGGTTGTTTATTTATCTGTCTCTCTGTCTATTTGCCCGATTGTTTACCGTAGGGAGAAGCAAGGGGGCTTCGGCGCCACTGGTGAGGTGGGACCCCAAGGACCCAAGGTAATGAAGTGGCGGCTGCGAACTTGTTTCTTCACGGAGGCCGCTGGTGCGCTGTTAGCTAAGCCATCCCAATGGCAGTAATAATTAGAAGTGACAACAGCAACAACAAACAACAACAGCCGCGCCAACATATGTACGTACAACAATGCACGCGATAGGAAGCAGGGTTTCGCCACCTGTATTCAGATTCTTCATAGTTCGTCGGGGTCAGATCACCCGCGTGAGCAAAAATGTGCTTCTTAAAGCCTCCTCCCCCAGACACGTCCAGTGAATAAAGTTTCCACGTGATGAACAAACGTGCCGATGTATTACCGCCTCAATGTTTTCCGACGTTTGGCCAGCAGGTATAGCAAGCATCGTCAAATGGAATCGTTGTGACCCGTGGAGTATCGGTCCTCCCATCATGCCTGGCATGTCACGAGACATTTGTTAATGTAATTATTAACCGTTTCCCGTCCTGAGACAACTCCAAGTTACAGGTTGGATCCCGTTCATCGTTGAATCTCGGACCGAGCAAGCGGATTCGTCATTAATTTTCCTTGTTTGGCTATTGGTGTTTCATTATTGAACACTGAGTGTGTGTCGATTCAAACAAAGTGAGTTCACAAGAAAGAATACAATTCCCCCAGCAGTTCGATAGATCGTCAGCATTCGGGGGGGGGGGGGGGGGGTCACGTTTTGATTCCTGAATCAATTTGTTTCCATCTTGTTTGAGTCATCGCCCTTGTTTTCTCCGTCTCGTGTTCTACCACTGAGCCGTGAGAGCTATTGATGCCTCTCTTGGAAACTCACCGATTTAAATTGGCCTTTAAGCCAGAGTTCTGGCCATCTATCCTGTCTCCGTTGATTTCCTGCTTTCCACGCATGGCACATTGGTATCTACGTATGAAATGCGCCTTACAAATGCTAAATTATTATTCGTTTCTTGCCTCATGCTATTGACCTCAAGGTGAATTGTCACAAACTTTCCAGATAATTTATAAAAAGCATACATAGTCAATTGTTAGACGCGTAAATTAATGTTTTTCGGTATTTTCAGCATGATGAATGCAGCATCCTGCATCGAAACAAACACTAAAATATATCAAGTTTAATAGCATAAAATATGAAGAAATAGACGTATATAATTTTATCCAGATACGACTTACTAAGTCTCAAGGCTTGGCAGTAGGATGTTTGGCATGATCCTTTTCAACAGACGTGGTTTGGATGCTGTAGACTCTTATGAGTAAACGACCCTCGAAAATCCACACGGGTGCACTAGGAACCCACTTGCAGTTCTTGCAATCTCCTGCCCACCTCATAGCCGAGTAGATTTTGGAATTTCACAAATACATCTGAACCACTGACCCTCGGTTCAAAAGCCACTCGTTACCAAATGAGTCCTGATTGAGTCTTCAAACTCCTTTTTTATATAATGCTCCCGACCCTGCGATGTTTGGCCGAGTACATTCATGAATATTCACCTTGGTGTGGGGAAACCACTTGTAGAAACCCATACACGCATTAGACCCAAGGCCGGACCTATAAAATCAATCCACAGACGCACTCAACCCGTTGAGTGGACCAAATCTCCCTGTGGACCGAAGCCATCGCTGTAACGCATCCTTCGCGGGACCTCGCATCACTTGCAGTCATACGTCTAGGGCATGCGTTGTGTGGTCGCCGAATCGAAACGCTAACCCAGGCCAGTCCATGCTTCGGTTTTCATTTTCGCGTGCGATTGGCATGTTGACCACGTGCCCTGGATGAGCCCCAGCAAGAAGAGCTTGCGAGCGGCTTCCACTCGGGCTCCTCGCGCGCATTTCCCCGTCGTGTTTCCGGCTGCGGGCGGCCAACAACCTGAAATATTAACAAGGCGCAAGCGATGCTTTGTGTTCCGTTGTGGACATTGCAAGACGTCTTAAGTGTTTGTGTGTGTGTGTGTTTTTTATAACTATGTCTGTAGGGATATCCTGGTCCAATTGGGCCTATGGGTCTCACTGGAAAAAAAGGAGACAAGGTAGGGCAGCACAAAGGGAACCCTTCTGCACGCAATACAATTTAATGTTTGGAGCCTTACACCGATTGTACCATAAAGTATGTTTCTATTCTACGTTTAAGGGCCTTGCGATGCGACTGCATTTACACACTGCATGCAAAGGCACGTGTCATTGTTGTCGTCATGCAAAATAGATATATGCTCCTCCATTCGTGTCTCCACAGTTTTACGGACCGATAATATTTGGCAGCGTTTTTGCTTAAACCAGTCCACCTGTACTCGAGTGTGTTTAGACGTTTTTTGAGTCCCCCATCTGCAGGCAGGTCCGTTCAACACACACTGCTGGGTTGACAAGATAAGTGTCGTTGGCAAGAGGTCTCGGTCATCACGGCGGGGGGTGCTATTCAGCGAAACAAAAAAGCAATCAACGACTGTTTTGTTTAATAAAAAAAAACATCACTTATGCGGCTATTGTGAAGCAATACTGTTAGAAAAATAAACAAAGGCACCAGTTTGTGTATAGTTGTAAAGATGTTTTTTCCTCTACGGACTTCCCGGACCGCTGTTATCAAATCACGATTTTATTTCAGCACGGACAAAGAAAAGCCAACCAACATGTTCACTTCACACTTGAAAGCTCGTAATCCCACTGAGCTACACATACATAAACTGGAAAGAAAGAAATAAAAACAACGGACAAATAAAATTCAACAAGGTAATATGTCTCAGTTGTAAAATAAAAATAGAAATGCCTCGGTGGAGTTACGTTGCAAATATATTTTGGCTGCCGTACGTAGTTATACAGAATTGGGACAGAGCACGGAAAGAGCTAAAAGGTGCAGCCCCGCAATCGCCCGCTCGCGCCAATGCTGGCGGAAGGGCCCTCCCCGCTAGAGGGAGTTCGAGAGAGCCACTGTTAGGGGCCACGGTTTCCGTGTGAAATGTCGTCGCTGATTTTACCGTTCAGCGCTGTGCGCGAGAGGCAAGTTGCACCAGACTTTTTGATGGCCCAACTTTTGGGAAAGGCGTTCCTCTCAATTCGCGTGAGCCCTACGAAGGCGAAGCCTTATTCCTCAAACCTTCGGCAGCCATGGTCTTAATGTCGCCTGCTTCCATGCACGTGCCGCACGCCCGCCGAAACAGCGGACACTTGCGCCTCCGATGGCCGAAAGCGCGATTCGTCGCAATCTGGCTTTGCTTTTTTTTACTCTCGTTTTCTTCAAGCAGTTTAAAATTTGCCTGCTCGGATCTATGGAGCATCTTTCATGTCGCCCGATTTGACCGCGGAGGGTCAGAATTTAATCATAAGGAAGCTGCGCTTTTCAAAGCGAGCGAATTTTTAATGGTCAATTCCACCGCACGCAACGGTCCGCGGATAAACCGGAGAGTCTGAATCGAGCATCTGGGCTTTCGGATGTTCTCATCTCCCTGTTCCTCTTGAACATCCAAGGGCCACACGTCTGTCCCTGCTTTGTGCACGGACACAGACATAGACACCTGCGGCTGCCTCCCTCCACGAAATTTCTCGGTCGTTTCCGCGCGGCCATTGTAGATCCGGCTGCGTTAACGCCGCCGCCGTACAAAGTTCCACATTGTTGAGACGCAGCCACTTCCAGACGCTTCATGAATACAAATAGCGTGTACGCAGCAGTGCACGCTGCTCCTATGGCGAAATGGACAATCGCTTTTCAAACTCGAATATAATGTCAAAGTGAACTTCCAAGAATGCCCCCAAGCGTTTTCCATATGTAAGACAAATGCAGCAATACCCAGATTCCAGGAATGACGCTAAATAATGCATTGTGCTTTATTCTTTCTAGGGGTCAAAGGGCTTTGTTGGACTCCAGGGAGAGCTGGGACCTGACGGTGACCAGGTAAACTGCCTGAAATTATGCTTCACGTTGTGTTTTTTTTTTCCCCCATCACGGTAATTTCCTTCTTGTGCTTAATAATTTAAAGCCGGGCTTGCCTCACTTCTTAGCATTTACAGCCCCTTCTCAACCGCCGTGCCTTTTTCCCCCGCCATATTTTTTTAAAACTTTTAATAAATAATGAGGTTTTAACGAGTTGTCATTTAACCTCGGCGAAAATTGTGGCCATTCCGACAAAAGGTTTTTTTTTGTCGCCCCTTGATGGATTAATATTGACGGGAAAAGTGTTTTGGCAGTTAGCGAATGTACACTCTGCTACCTCTCTCGCTAAGCATGCATTTCCTGAGAATTTCAAGTGGGCTGACACCACACTTGTGTCTGCGTGTGCCCGTCTCTGTACAATTCACTTTGAATAGAAGATGTTTGAAAAAATCAATCGAGGGTGGACACAAAAAGAATTGCACATGTCCGTCCGAAATATAAAAAAGTGTCCAACTTGCGTACAGAATCGACAATTGTGCACACGTGCCTTGCGTTTTTTTGTTGCATTCGGGGCTAAGTGAAGGGGTTTGGATCGGTTGAAAATAAGCAGTTCGTTACAGACATCGTCCAATCGCAGAAGGTTATTGTCAAGAAGCTACAATGGAAAAAAAATAGGCCCCAGCATTAGGCCGAGTTCAAATCCTGATTTGAGCCGGTGGACTCAGCCAATAACCCATCTGGGATTTATAACAATAAGTTACCCCACTGTGCGGAGAAGGCACCCAGCCAGCAGTGGTTGTCCTATGGTTTACTCACCCCTGCCATAGGATCGTGGAATTTCCTACGGCTGGCTCAGAGCTGTAAACCGCCTCGATGCTGCGGATTTGAGCGAGAAATCACCATGAATGTAAAATTAGCTACACGTTATGGATTCCATCCGATCACAGACCGGTTACAATCAGAATCTGACCGTGATAACAGTATAACCCGTCAAAACTAAGTTTTTCACTATAAATCCTTTATATGCGTGGCGGCTAGAGTCCTCTCGTCCTCTGGCTTGAGATGGCTGCCACCTATGGGTCAGATGATTGCATTGCACCATTAAGCAATTGGTAATAAAATATAATATTTTTGTCCTAAAAAGTGTAAAATTTTGGAATTTTTTTCACGAACATTAATTGTCACGCACAACGAGTCTGTGTGGAAAATGTCAGCTCGATTGGATCACGGCAAGTGGGTTAAAAAACGACCGAAAGATTTGCACGGTCGTAAGCAAGCAAGCAAGCAAGTGAACTTAATATAAAGGATTTAAAAAAAACAACGCAACACTTCGGAGCACGCGAGAGCCGGTTAGTGGCCACGTCTCAGGAACGACTCCATTTTTATAAAGCGATCTGTTGCTCCGTCTATGCAAATCATAAAAACGGGGCAATTTTAGACCCAAAATTTTCGCGGACGTGTCGTAATTGCTTTCTGTTGATCGCCGAGCGGTGACAGGCTCCGTTTGCTGGTGGTTTTCCAGGCCGCCGGCGCTCTGTGAATCGCCGGCGCACTGCTGCCGCTGGGTTGTGCGCTCATCGGCAAGGCGCAGATTATAAGGGGAAACGCGGAAAATTCATCCTACTGTGAATAAGTCGATGCCTTCCCGTATTTCTCTCTCCCCCCCTCCCAACTTTTACCCAACGCAGGGAAACCTCGGGCTGTTTGGACAATCCGGGACTGGTGGAACGGGTGGCACTCTGGTAAATACAATTTCGTGCGTGGTTGTAGTCATAACCCGACAGATGACCGTACTTACATGAGCACACAAAATTACGTTGTCACGCTTGGGATGTTTCTTTCTAAAGCGTATTGATGTAATTAGGGTAGGAGTGGAATAATAATACAATCCCCCCATGGCGATTTGATTAAGTTTTTGATAGGGGTTGCCATTCAACCCAAAACTCCGAGATGTATTTATTATTTGGTTATATGGCGGTTAATGCAAGCCACCTCTAGTGGTTGCAGGGGCAATGTGAGCCCATTGCATACATTCATACACGTGATAAATTCCCTGCATCATAGAGCAAAATCGTGTCATTGGAAATTAAGCGATATTTGTAAAACTTCTGACTGCACTCTTGTGTTTTGTAAATGTAATGACACTGTTTAATTACTGCTTTTTATCGACTTTAATTCTGTTTGATGTTTTAACATCTTGGCACCTGTTGTATTGCCAGAAAGGGTAACACATATTGTTATATCATATCGAGAGTTAATTTACGGTTTTATGGTGTGACCCAGGCTTCCCCTTGAATCAAGAGACTGTTGGATTGCTTTGGGACCTTGCCTTAACGAAAGCATTACAACAACCGCCATTCGCGATTTAAGTGGCGGCGACGTCACAACTTCGCTTGTGCATGGCCAATGTGCACTTTGAGGCCACGTGAAGCGTCGCAGCCTCGCTGGCAGGAGGTCAAGGGACAGACCCATGTGGTGCCATGGTTTGACTGACTGAGATGGCTGCCAGGTGCACCACCTGTGCCCCCTACTGTGCCAACATGCCGCGTTTTTCAGCTAAAGCATGCGTTGGATACAGACACGCACGCACTCATCACGGACTTAACAATCGGTGGACCAACGCATCGCCCCCCCCTCCCCCCTCCTACTATTCGTACGACAAGCGTGACCAACCCAGCAGTGCACTGAGCGCACCATTTAAAAGCGACACCAAACTAAGGTCAACCGCTGCATTCTGCGTGCCCGCCATCTTTGTGATCGTCCGTGCTTCTTCCGGTTGTCAGGGCGACCCCGGTTTTGAGGGAGAAGAAGGCTCTGCCGGTCCGATGGGGCCTCAGGTGAGACACCACAACCACAGGCGGCCTGACCGCGTGCGCGCGGACGTGCGGACCCTCTCTCTGCCGTCGCCGATGGCTTCGTGCATGGCACGCGCGCATCTTTTGAGCGCGCGGTCATCGAGGTGGCGGCCGTGGAGGCCCTGCATTTGAATCGAGGCTTCCGCCACTCCGTGGCTGAGCTGCGTTCTCTGGTGCAGCGAGTCGATGGGCCTCGGAGCGGGTCACCGCAATGGCCGCACGGACATTCATCGTAACAGATCTGTGTTTTTTTTTTTCCCACTCACTTGAACTTGCCAAATTACAGACGGCGATTGTTGTGCCATGCGAAAGTTACACACGAGATAATTATACACGGTGATAATTACACGTGATGATTACGCACGTGATCATTACACAAGTCATATTACACCACGTGATAATTACACGTTGCGATAATTGCACCAGTGTGATCATTACACGTGATCATTACGCGCGTGATAATCGCACCACGTGATAATCCAAGAACGTTGGTTCAATGCGGGAGCACGGGGAAGTGTGTCGCTCTCCGTTGTGTGGCTCAAAAGGGTGCCTTGGAGACGTCTCAGAAGCAGTTCTGCGAATTATTCCCCGCGCTGGCTTTTTATCGTCCACGTGGGACGTGAAGCCGCAAATCGGGGCACCGCTTAGATCCGAGCGGTCGTGCTACGTCACTCGACGACAAGGTTGGCCAACCAGCAACAGGCCAAGAGCCACAGAGTACCCATTAGTTTCATTCATTAATCCACTACATTGGGCGCCACGGTGGCGAGGTGTTAACGACCTTCCTGGTATGCAGGAGGTCGTGGGTTCGATCCCGACCCTGATGCCTGCTGTATATTTAGAGTTTGCATGCTCTCCCTGTGGCCACGTGGCATTTTCTCCTGGTCCTCCTGTTTTTCCCTCCACATTTAAAAGCATGCGTTTAGAGTATTTGGCTGCTATAAATTGCTACACGATAAGCCACTTGATTGAGCTATCATTTGTGACCAGGTCGCTTCTGAAAAAGAGCTGTATAGCTCAGTCGGCCTTACCTGCTAAAATAAAACATCGTTTATTTTGAAATAGTTTTTAAATAGCCACATGCGGCCCACCTTGTCTCTCTCCTCTCGTGAATCGTGACGAGCGGGTGGACAGGTCGGCTAAATAGACAACAATATCAAATAATGAAGTTGGGAAACAATGAGTCGATTCTGTACATTTGTGTTCCGTCCTCATGAGAAGCGAGGCGACTCCACAGCAGATACGCACCAGAGGTTTTGCGAAACAGCAACAACGCTTTATTTCAAAGAGTTATTCCGAGGAGCGTTTGTGTGCCTGCAATAATGACCAGACACAACAACAACAACCGGCATTCGCCACTAAGTGGCGGTGACGTCACCACAGCGATTGTGCCAGGCTATGTGGACGGTTAGGCCACGTGAAGCGTCGAACGCCCGCTGGCAGGAGGTTACGGAACATACCCAGGTGCCATGGGTTGACCGACTGAGACGACTGGCCGATGCACCACATGACCAGACACACTCCTTATCACCCTCCACGTCACACAACACCTCAGCTAGGTCCCTCAGCATGGTATACACCCCAAAATCTAGATCAGGGGAGTGCCCCCTTACTCTCAATAGTCTACACACCGCCGCTCTACGGCGTGCTTTCGGTGGTTGTACGATGTCCGACGTTTCGCTGCATGTGCTTGGAAAAGCTCTTGAAAAAATTTCTTATCCCGAAGGTCCCCCCCCACCTCCCCCACTCAAAGCATGTGCAGCGACACATCTGACGGCATGCCCGACGATGCGCGGAACGATCCGAAAACGACACACTTTTGGAGAGCTACCAAATAGGAGGGCGCAATTTGAATACAATTGTCGGGAAGAGGAGCAGAACATTGTTAGTAAAAAGTAAAAAAAATATCAACGCCTAGACACGCGGCTGGATGGATTAATTGATTCAGCAGAACTGCTTAAACTCTGCCTCTTTGATATTCGAGAAAGTGCTCGCTGCATTTAGACCCAGCGCAAGGAGACGTCACGGCGATATGCGCTTTAATTCCCCTTCCGTATCCAAGGAATCGCTCGTGGGTCATTTGCGCTAAGCCGCAGCCAAAGCCGACGTTAATAACAGATTGCATTATGGGCCACTGAGCACTGCCGGGAAACTTCTGAGCGGTCGCCCGTTGCAATGGCCATGCTGATGCTGATTTCCTCCCCAGGGCATGAAAGGTGTGGAGGGGCTGGCGGGGAGCCAAGGAGATGCAGGCTACACCGTGAGTACTGGATGCACTTGATGTGCTAATCTCTGTGTGTTATCCCCAGCATGCCCATAAGACATTAGTCTCGGAGCCAGGGCAGTGATCCGAGCTGCGAGTTTCTCCTGCCCGAGTCGAGAGGGAGGCTACTGTGATGGATAATAATCTAACGTATGAGTGAGTGTGTGTGTGTGGGGAGCGGTAGTGGATGTACCCGGCGACCCGGGTTCGATTCCCGCTCATGGCCAACGGCAGTGACGAGTATCTGAACCTATCCTGGGCCACCCCTATGGTCGGCTCATCCTTAAATGTGTACCTGGTGCGATGCACTGGGGAGACAAAGGCGGCCGGGCGTATTGCTGGGCACCCTTACCCTCGTGCCTTACCGGCCTTCAGCACTTGCCTCAACAATCTGGCTCTACAGAAGGATAGTTGTCTCTGGGGAGCGGTAGTGTACGAACCTAGTGACCCAAATTTGATTCCCGCTCACGGCTTACACAAGTTACCAATTATCTGAACCGTTCCTGGGCCTTCCCTAGGGTCAACTCAGCCTCAAATGAGTACCTGATGCAGTATGTAAACATTAGCTCTGGGGATACAAAGTGTCTGGTGTGTGTGGTGTGTGTAGCGGCATTCTCACAGGTGCTCGCTGTTTGTTGCGCGCGGGGTGGTATTGTAGTGGCCACGTGGCAACTTCATTAATTTGCTGGGTCGGGTAGAGGAGGGTTTACGACGCACAAAAGCAATTGGAAATCATAATACTGGTCATGAAAGTCTAAGTGTTTTAATTGACATTTTTTATTGTTAAGCACAAGACTTGAATTAATGTGTAGCATTACTATAAGCCTGCGATATAAAAACCGCTCACCACCCCCGACGTGCCGAGACGCTCATTGACGTGAATTCAGAAGTAGTTCTGTGGCGTCATGTTTCAGAGCATTTCTCTGAGCTCCAAATGGGAATTACTTCGTCGGCGACTATAATGGCACGATTTTAATATCATTGGGAAGCAGACATATGAGCTGTTGAGCTACAACCACGTGGTCACCTTCCCCCGCACCAGATGCGCTTCTGCTGCCATCTGCAAACGGTCTTCCTTTCTATATTAGGAAAGCTAGTGGAGCCATGCACTTTAAAATCATGGTCTAGATTGAAAAACGAATTTCTTTAGAATTGCCCATTGTGTTTAGTTTGTTGTCCTTCACCCACGCACTCGGATTAATCACGGTTGGCTACACACGGTGCAAAAGAAGTTCAACATACATGTTGCGTTTTAACAATTCTCTCTCTCTCTCTCGGCAGGGGTTCCCAGGACCAATGGGACCACAGGGTGAAAAGGGGGTCAAGGTACGTTCCGTGGAATTAAAAAACAAAAACATTGTTCCTTTCCTTCAGCTCGTTCTTGCCACCGAATCCTATGATCACTGTTACATTGCTTTTATGGCTTTATTTCGGTGATTTCGAAAAGTTTTTTGGTTTGGCCATGTTTGTTTGTTGTAGTACGGAGTAAGACTGATGGCCTTAATCTAAGTTGTCTTGTGGTTGTTGTTGTTTGACTTGCATCCCACTGGGATTTTTGCACACAGCGTTGGTGTATGGTGCTTTTTCTGCAATATTTTGTTGCCTTTTCTTGGATTTTCTGTTTGCACATAGTCACTTTAAGATGTTTTCTTGTTCATGTTTTAGTGCTTTGCTTGTTGCGGTTGCACCCGATTCAAGAGCCGAATGGCTCACAGGGCTACACCAAATAAATGAAACTGAAAAAAAAATGAAACTCAAACTGAAAATCGCGTCGAAAACAACAACAACAACAACAAAACAATTCGATGCACGTGGAACCGACATGGGAAAGGAGTCGAGCTCGCGGCTCCGGCGGACAAACGACGCGCCGCTCGCCGAGGAGGCGATAGGCAAGTCGGGCGGTGTGCGAGCTCGTGGCCACGATGCGAAGTTCGTCGCAAGCGAGCGCTGATCAGGCTGCGCGCCGTTCTCCAATTCGCAGGTCAAACATCGCCGTGCGCCATCGAGCGATTTTCCACGATCCCATAAAATGCACTCTTAAACGAAACAAATTGTTTTGTTTACCAGGTTTGGCCCATTGAACTATGCAGCGATTTTTCACAAGCGACCTGGTCATCACAAATGATAGCCCCACGAAGTGGCTTGTCGTCAGGTTTGGACATTTATCGCAGCCGAATACTCTGAAACGCACGTCGATTCTAAATGTGGAGGGGGGGGGGGAACTGGAGGAGCCGGAGAAAAACCTGCAAACTCCAAATATACAACAGGCGTCAGGGTCAGGATCGAACCCACGACCTCCTGTCTATATCCCGAGGCCGTAACACAGCGCCAATCACAAAACAGGGGGGGGGGGAGGAGGGGTGGGAACAGAAACTCCGCGATCAGCAGCCCGACTTTGGCGCAGCAGGGCCATGCGAAGGGGGAGAATTGGGCTCACTGCCCCATGCCAGAGGGGGACCAGCAGCGGGTGACTTGAAGATTTATATTGGGAGGGGAAAAGGGTAAGATCACTCACACACTGTGGGAAAGAAAGGGACGGGGAGGGAGGAAGGGGGGGAGGGAGGGGGACCAGGAGAGGTAGTTAACATCTCTGCCACCGTGAAAACGAGCAAGCGCGGTGGACCCGCTGACGTGAAGTTGGATGCACGACGTCCGATCACACGACGCCACCGCCATCACCCGCGGATCGTCATCGATGGACCCTTCGCTCTGCCTCTCAAACGAGATCGCGGGCAAAGATGACCAACCTGCGCGCGAGAGGTCGCAATCTTCAATCCACGGCGGCCCTCTGCGAGCCAAGCGTGCATCTCCACAAATTTGAAGATGCCAAGAGACGTTTTTGAAAATGTCCCTTTTGTAAGTAGGTACTTACTTGTTGAACTTCGCTCGCACCGTACGTAGCCAACCGTGCATAATTCCAGTGGCTTCCTAATATTCGAAGGAGGAGCGTTCAGCAGATGGCATCTCAAAATGCGCGATGCGGTGATCGCCTTCGTTCGATGGCGAGCCAAAAGCCGCTGCGAGGATGACCGGAGTTTGCGTGACGGTTTCTGCGCCTTAACGATATCAGCAAGGGTGTTGTGGTTCATTTGCGGCGAGCACTTCGTGTGCAATGAGTGCGAACTCTTCGTTTATTTGTTGAGCAACAAATAGGACTTATTGGCGGTACACCAGTGCAGCATAGCACACCGGTCGTCAAAAAAAGTCTGGCGATTTCCCTGTTGCCCTTGAGTGAGCTGCAGGCTTTCCATCAGAAGTTGCCTTAGCTGCTTTCGCATTCGAACGCGTGACACCATGAGTCATATTCTTAGGTTTTTTCGGTAAAGTCACGTAGGTAAAAAATTAAAATTAATAAAAGTAAAATAAAATAAAAATCACGACGTTTCGGAAGCAACACAAGCTTCCGTCTTCAGGTGGAAACTTCAAATCTAGAACCATGAGTCATGATTTTTTGATGCCACCGTTCCACCAATAAATTATTTCGGAAACGAATCGACGAACCATCTGAACCAGGTCGAGGGCACGAGGAGTGATACCTGCCTTTGGAACACGGAGAAAGCCAATCGGTTGCCACGTTAGAACGTTCGTCTTCCTCCCAGCGCTTCGATGTCACGGGAACTGATGTTGACGCACCACCACCCTGCAAGATGTTCTGACCTTCGAGAAAATAAGTAAGTTTTGCTCTTTATTCTTTTATTAGGTATGATGTTTTTTTTACTATTTCTTTTATTAACATAAGCGTTTTTTTATTTGGAATTATTTTTATATTTTACTATTTTGATTTCTACTATATATATATATTTTATCTATCTCATATCATTTATAATAGGTTTTTTTTGTTATTTAATATCGCAACACTGGTCTACCGCCAATATACGTTCAAATACACAGCACCGGGAGGTTTGGCACCGCAATTTGCCATTCGCAAAAAAATACAATTTAGAAAGCATGAGATGGCGAGCGTTTCCCCCCCCCCCCTTTAGCCTATTTGCAATTTGGCAACGCTCCGTTTGGTTTGGAGCCACGGAAGGGCCGCGCTGGCTGGGTTGTTATTGTGTTCGGAGGCAGACCGTTGTCATTTCTCAGTATCCACCTCCGTTCCGAAAGCGACATAATATTTTGTTAAGGCAAAGAAATCCATTGCCACGGATTTGTTTTGGCGCGGCGGACGACAGAGGTAGAAAAGTAGTCATCATGATCTTCTTGGTTCTTTCGGTAAAGTCACGTAGAAGGGAAGTAATAAAATAATAAGAACCAAGAAGATGAATCCCTGCAGTCACGAAAGCTTTAAATCGAAATTTAGTCATCATGAGTTTTTTTTTGTCCGACACATTACAAAAGCTCAAAGTCGTCTCGTGTAGAAATATCCAAAGCTTAAGTTTTCCTCTTTGACAAATAAACTCCAGAGATTATACCTAGGTTAGATCGCGTACATATATAAATGAGTCGTTAAACCCACCACCACCCGACACAGCCTACGTGTTATACAAAAATGCTGCACGCACGCGCGTATCGTGATATTTAAACGAATATATCTATCTATTACCATTGAGTGTTGATTGAGTATTAGTCAACAACTTTTGTGTCGTGCCGTTCCTCCGTTGGCTTCCTCTCCGCTGTGTTCCATTTCTCTGGCTGCCCCCTTCCATCCTCACCCTTGACCCTTGGCCACCGTCCATCCTAGCAGCGTGTCCTCGGCCATGGCATGGAGTGTTTCCCCGTCGCGTGCGTGGGATCTTCCGGTTTCTTCACTTCTTTTCGCCACACGTAGACGCTCGTCAATTGGCCGATGACACCTTCACATATAGAGGACCGCAGAGCTTGGGAAATTGTTGGCATCGGCTCATCGCGTGGCCGCCTTCCCGCTTGACTGTTGCTTCTCGCACCCCGAGTCATTTTCTCTCTTTCTCCAGGAGAGCCAGGCGAATGCTGTGTGGTGTGTTAAAAGTTGAAACGCTTCTAAATTCTTGTTGAATGCGTACGTGCTCTTGTTAGGGTATTGCACGGCGCGTACCGCCTCATCGCGGTATCTGACCTCTTTCTCCGAGCAGACGACACTGCGGATGTGCCCGCGTGCAGCCCTGAATGCGCATCCCCGGTGAAACTCAAGCGTTTCGTAACCAGTCGTGGAGGTGTCCGCTTTTTAATTATTTCAAAGGCCATTAGTTTCATACGAGCCCGTGTTTTCTTTCCACCGAACAAAGGAAACGACTCGATGGTTTTTCCACTCGCGGCGGTTGACGTCGCTGCGATGATTTCTCCGGCAGGGAGACGTGGGGATCGCCGGCGTTCCGGGCCGGGACGGGATGCAAGGCATGGACGTGAGTAGAATCATCCACGGGAGCGACGGGTTCAAGGGGATTAAAGAGCCGGTTCGCAACCCAAATGGGTGGCACCCGCTCGTGGGTTAGGGGCTGCGAGAGAGTGCAGGCTGCGGCATGGACACTGTGCATGAGAAGTTCAGGATGTGTGCGGGGAATGCGAGCCCCATTGTGCAACGGTAAAACACACTGATGCGCAACGCGACACAAGTACCTTACCAACACAAAACACACGGACATACGGAATTAAAACAATTGCCTTATAAACACAACATTCATGCGGTACGTGGACACGTGATCTCTCTGTGTATCGTGGCCTTTTTACCTGGGTGGGGGCCAGGAGGTGGGGGGGGGGGCCTTACGGGGGCCAGGAGAGACGGCAGTACGGCAATGGATTCTTAAATCCATCTTTGCACAGCCTCGAGCATTGAATTATTTTCACTCGCCAATCAACTATAAATGGACTTTTCCAGGCAGCCCAATTCAGGACCCTCCACCGGCCGAACTGTGTCAACGTGTCCAACAGCTGTAGCCAGACTGCAAGGCGTTACACGCGGTGAGAGGCGAATTAAAAAAATGCTCCTTCCATTGATTGTAATCGTCGAACTTCATAGGGAAGAAGAAAAAAATGGCAAAAATAAATGTATTACATATTCAAAGCATTTTGCATATCCCAAAAATGCATTTCATTAGAGTACTGGAGCAATGTTTTGTCATAAAATAGAACGAAAAACCGCCACTCACGGCGCAGCGTGCACATTGGAAGCCTGCAAACGGCTATGTGATGGAATGTCCAATAACCGACAACACGCAGAGCTTGGCCGCTATTAGCGGCTTGCGGGGGAATGGGGATGTTTCCGCAGGTCGCTCGGTGCATGGTTATTAAGGCTGTCCGCGATAGGAATCCCAAATATTTTGATGCTCATTTCCCCGCTGTTTGCATTGCGGTTTTCAATAACTCGGGACCGCCAGGTTCCACTTAATTGCCGAAGTGGTGTCGTGATGATGATGATGATTTTTTTTCTCCCATCGTTTGCTTTATTAGCGTATTTTTCATATCTGCCCGAGAGCGGTTAAACCACTCCGCAGGCCAGGATATTAAAAGGTGCTCTGCAGCGCGTCCTTATTTCTTCATTATTGTCTGAACTCATAACTAAAGCGCGCGTACGCTAGGCTACGATAATGCCTGAGAGAAATGAACTGTCGATTTAAGTACAATAATCGGAAAGTTTCTTGAAACCACCCCTCCCCCTGCCCCCCTCGCCGCCTGCCGAGCAGTATAAATGGGTCCTCCACAGGTAATCGATCTTATTTATAGGGCACCTTAGCTCATGGTGCTTTACATAGTAAAAATAAAAAGCAGTAACAAACATGGAACGATTTAGGTGGCAGTGGCAGTGCAAGAGCCTAGGAATGAGTGACCGCTACAGAGGTCACACGGAGGTCACGAATGGGCGACAGGGGAGGGACGGGGCCGAGTGGAGGGGCGAGGGGAAGGTAGAGGAAGGGAATGGGCGGCGATGGAGAAGAGGTGGAGCTTCGAAAGAGTTGCGGTGGGGTAAAATGTGGGCAACTCACGCTTTTTCGTAGACGAATCACCCCGCCACCATTCCCCCTGTTGCAGTTCGCAGCGGAATGAAAAAAATTTACCCGTAAAAACAAAGTTTTTCACTCTAAATCCTTTATATGCGTGGCGGCTAGAGTCCTCTCGTCCTCTGGCTTGAGATGGCTGCCACCTATGGGTCAGATGATTGTCTGCCAGCATTAAGCATTTGGTAATTAAATATTTTTTTTCCCTAAACAGTGTAAAATTTTGGGAAAAAATTTTCACGAAAATTAATTGTCACGCACAACGAGTCTGTGTGCAAAATGTCAGCTCGATTGGATCACGGGAAGTGGGTTAAAAAACGACCGAAAGATTTGCACGGTCGTAAGCAAGCAAGCAAGCACGCAAGCAAGCAAGCAAGCGAACTTAATATAAAGGATTTAAAAATTAGCTCCTCCCTTCAAAGTACATTTGGCGGCGGAGGGAATTGCGATGCCTTCGAGTTGCATCGTTGCGGGGTGTCAAGCGCAGGCGTTTGTGTCGCTGCAGCCCAGACTCCTCGTCGCAACTTACTGGGTGCCCCTAAATGTCGAGGTGACCCGGTCGGCCGCGATGGTTTCCATCCGCCTTGCCGCTAGTCGGCGTGCGACGATGCAGCGAATCGTCGATTTAAAGTGATTATTTTGATGATAACATCAGAATCAGTTGCTCAGCGGTCATCCTCATCTATCCCTTCTGGCAGTTGATTATCGATAAAGAGGGTGTACATATTCTAGGTTCTTTCGGTAAAGTCACGTATAAGGGAAACAATAAAATAATAAAAATATAAAACAATACATAATTTTTTTATTGTTTCCCTTCTACGTGACTTTACCGAAAGAACCAAGAATATGAATCCCTGCAGTCACGAAAGCTTTAAATCAGGGTGTACATACTTTTCCACGACCCTCTTTCTTTAGCCAGCAATCACCACTTACGTTCACCCCCAGCCGTGATTCGTCTATGCTGGCTTCTTACCGCTGCGTCTATCCCACCTGGTTTTCCTGTCGTTAATGATCACTTTTATGGCAAACGCAGCGGACAAAACTGTGCAAACCGAACGGAGAGAAACGCGAAACGGCACACATCGAATCGCAGAACACCCCCAAGTGGTGACATTTTCATCGAATCTCTGCCGAGCACAACAATCGCGTGCCTCTCATGAACTCCGGGAATAGGAGCGGCGACTTTAAGTAAAACAACAACGACCGCTCGTACATGTTAATAGGTGTGGGGGTCTCCCTGGCAAATAAGGTCCCTTCACCGTGGCTTAATTAATACGATCAATGAACCGGTGTTAGTGGCGTTGGTGTCGTTTCACAGGCGGTCGATAGGCCTCTGTATTGCGAATGTCTACGTCCACACAAACAGCCCGAGCCGTGCTGAAGATGGAAGTAAAGCGACGCGGCGAGGAACGTACAACCGGAGGGGTTCGATCGCGTTTCTCAGAAACAAGTATTGACTTGTTAGGGCTGTATGGATATCAAAGGTTCCCAATCTCAGCAATTACTGTGACTCTACGATAAAACAGTTCCACCGCAACGGAGGCTTTTTCGATCGCCCTTTATCGATGTGTGTTGGGCGGGTTGGGGGTGGAGTGGGCGTCTCGCCAGTGCGCCCGCGCGTTTGCTGATCGTAGATTTGCATTTTGTTGTTCTCAGGGAGCTGTGGGACTCCAAGGGCTAAGGGGACCCTTTGGAGTTACCGGAGCGAAGGTGAGAGGAGACGGGCGACGCTTGAGGAGTCCCACTCCTCCTCGCCTCGTGGGGCACGCGGTCGAGGGCGCGTATGCGCGCACGCAAGCACGCGTACCGCGCACATGACGCAAGCGCTTGCGGAGTGTGTATCACGGGCGGGCGGGCGTGGGACGTATACGCGGCGAAGTTATTACGGTGGACGCGGAATGATTGAGCAACGGACGTGCACGCACGTGTACATACGCACACGTATGCACGCGCACGTACATACAACAACAACAACCGTCACTCGCCACTAAGTGGCGGTGACGTCACCACGACGCTTGTGCCAGGCCATGTGCACCTTGAGGCCACGTGAAGTGTCGAACATATGCACACGTACGTACATACGCACACATATGTACAAGCGCGCACAAACGAAACAGCACATGCACACAATTGTACAAGTGTGTTTGTGTATGTACGAGCATATACAAAGACAAAGATGTACACCAAGATAAAGATCCCCCGTAGAGCCTTAACAGACTGTTGGGGAAAGTGCTGTTAGCGAACACCTAATGAAGGTTAGTTCGGCACACGATGGGGTGGGTGGCCAGCACCACGCCCGACCGCCTTTGTCTCCCCGGTAGCGATGTTTACTACACACCACACCAGATACTCATTTGAAGCCGAGTAGACCTAGGGGATGCCCAGGACTTACATGCACACACATACACACCAGCATGAGCACACGCACACACGCACAGACGTGCACGTGCAGACGTGCGCGCGTGCGTGTGCGCTTGAACCTGTGGGACTTCCCGTGCGGGGGAGGAATATCACAAGACCCAGGGAGAAGAGAACCGCGCGTGAAGGAGTGTTGGCTATTTAATCGTATTATTATGCAACTGACAATATCACAGGAAGACTTATAGGTTTTCACCGGACGGCCACCACGGTGGGCGAAAAATCAGGATAACGTGGCAAGCCCTGGCCCGGAGCCTGAGTGAACGGTCACCCACGGGAACCCCCGCGGGTCAATTGCATGAATCACCTGAGAATAAATTACTTCCTAACGTGCAGAGCTGTCGGTGGCAAGAATAAGTGGAAATTCCACTGCAGGAGGTGTTTTTTTTATTACGCAACGGGCCACACTCGCTCCAAAATGAGGGCAGCTTTGCTGCGGTGCAAATGCAGCGGCCGGCTCGTCCGTCGGTGGCTGCGCGAGAAATTAAAATGAATGTGGCTTATCACGTTACGCCTTGACATCGGTAGGACAATCGAATCTGTTAGTTTAGTTTTTTTTTGCCGCATGATAATTTAAGCCCAGCTCTCTCCTCCGCGCCTGGGCTCGTATGGGAATACAAATGTGTGTGTGTGTCCCCTCCGACAATCGTACGGCAATACAAATGTGTGGACCTCTGACAATCGTACGGCAAAGCAAGGAGAGGAGTCGTGACGTCACTCGAGGTTGGGTTGACGAGAGGGTGATTGCCGTCACGAGACCTGGGGGTGGTGAAGTGGAATCGTCGGTTCGTGAAATAGTTAGTACACGAAGTTCCGAGGTTTCCTGCTCGTAATGATAATATTGTTGAACTGATTACATTGGCGTGATGGATGTTGTGTGTGTCGCAGGGAGACGTGGGAGACAAGGGCGTTGAAGGACCCCAAGGACACATTGGCCGAGCCGTAAGTTCCCTGCAAAGTGTCCGTGCCATCGTGTTTGTTTGGAGTCTGGCATGGGGTGGAGAGGAGATGGAGCTGATGCGGTACGGAAAGATGTGGAGCTGAGTGGACTTTAAATTTCGATTTAAAGCTTTCGTGACTGCAGGGATTCATCTTCTTGGTTCTTTCGGTAAAGTCACGTAGAATGGAAATAATAAAATAATAAAAATAAAACATAATAAAATTATTCTCACGACGTTTCGGCCACAACGCAAGCAGCCGTCCTCAGGTGATGGACAGGTCTATCGAGAAGACAGAGTCTGAATGAAACACCCCAGGTTTGGAGCATCTATTTAAGCTGAGTGGACTTGCTGATGGCCGGTACCGGCAGTATCAAGATCGGCCTCTGTGGAGGAGGAGGAGGCTCGTGAAGGATGCTACTGGGCAGTTGGAGGCAGTCAACTTCCAAAGAAAACCGAGGGCGGAGGAGCGACGCTCACAGGGAGTCGGCTTGCCTTCCAATATTCACGTGGCCTCAGAGTGCACCCAGCCTGTCACAAGCACCCTGGTGACGTCACTGGCACTAAGTGGCGAATGCCAGCTTTTGATGTTGTGTTGCGTGTTGAACATCTTTCACACCGTACGTAGCCAGGCGTGCTAATCGGAGGTGCGGGGGGGGGGAAGGACCACGAACTAAACACAAAAAGCAATTATCTTGAAATGAGTTTTCAATCCCAGATTGAAAAGTGCATAGCTCCAGTGGCTTCCTAATATCGGAAGTCACTGAACACGGTGTGCATGCACCAGTCTTGAGAATAGAACATTGCCACCTTGGTCAAAAGCCAGTGGTTTCCAGATCAATCAAGCAAGTGGGGGAAGCATTCATCAGCCGTTCATAGCTCAGATCCAATTGTGGGAAATTCCAGATTCCAAATGGCAGGGGTGAGTTCCATCATGCAACCAATGTTGATTTCTCTGCCAGAAGGACTTGTTTTTAATCAACCTTGGAAGTACAATGGGCTGAGTGCACCCCTGGCTGGCAAGCTGTCCTACCGCGGGAGCCACGCACGCGTAATGCCGTGTCGCCCAGTCAGGTTGTGTACTGACTGGTTGTAATGGGCAAAACGCGTTACTAAAACCTCATTGGGGAGGACATCCAATGTTGAAAGGATATTCCAATGGAGGGATTGTGTCAATAAAGTTGAGTACAATATAACTTGTGGGGGGAGGCTGCAGTTGTCATCCAAAGGAAGAAAAAAACCTGCACCTAAACATGAGCTTATCATTTGCATGAATTATAAACGGTTGATTCTCACAGATACACTGCAATGATCGTGATCTTGGGAAGCGATCGTAAGTTGGATCGATGCATCGTTACTTGCCTGAGTGCTCATCTCCTATGCACGTGTGGAAATTCCACTTTCTTCTGGTGGGATCCAGTTAATTTATAGAACAAAGTGGTACCTAATTTATTGATTCCGGGGGGGATGATGGTACGAATATACACCTCCAAATTGCAGTTTGAACTCGCAAACTTGCCAATTGCGAGTCGCGTTATCCGAAGCACCGAACCGCCCTAGATGGACGCTAAATAATACAAACGCAACGAAAGTTTCCTCCCCGCTGCTAATGGAAATCAAAATTACACTCGTGCCATTGTCGCTCTTGGCTGTTGTTGTCGTTGTCGTCGGTGGCGGCTCACTGCCCGTTGTTTCCGTGTCTCCCAGGGACCCAAAGGAGACAAAGGCACAGCCGGGCGTCACGGCAAGCCTGGCAAGCCAGGCCCCAAGGGGATGCGGGTAAGTCTGCCGCCGTCTCACGCGAAACACTCCGGGAAGGGGGGGCGGTGGGGGAGTGGGGGGCGTTTGCGCTCTCAAACGCCCCCCACTCCCGCTCGCTCGTGCCTCCCACACAACGTTGGGCACCGGACTCCTGATGGGCCGACGGACGCCTCCGACCTAAAAAACGCGCCGGCGCTGCCTGTTGACGCATCAGTAGGGTGCCCTCGTTCGTCCCCTTAATGGTGAGGGTGCATTACCCCTGGGCCTGTTATACGTTACGTGTTGGTGCGTTTTCCCCCTTTTGATATATAGATGCATATATACTCAGTGTATTCTGGGAATCTTGAAAGACCATAAAGAATGCTTACGAAAGAAATAGAGACGGTGGTGGGGGAGGGAGACATTTTTAGACACGGAACTGCGTGCCGCTCTGTCGATCCGTACTCCGTGTACGGGACACGTTTGTGAACGCACACGTTGGCACGTAAGAATTTAAAAAGAGCGTGTTTTATCCCCTCGCGGACCTTAAGGGACACTGTTGTTTGTGCGAGCAAACTAAACGCATGAAACGACAAGTTGACAAAGGACGACACGAGATGAATGTGAAATTGAAATCTTCACCGCGATCCCGGTTGTGTATTTCACACGGACGGGCAACGTTGCTTTATAGTTGCGAAAACTAAAATTGCTAAAGGTGTTTTTGTTTTAATTATATATATCTCACAACGAATATGGAAATGCTTTATTTAGCTTTTGGCGTTTCATATGTTCATGTTGCAGGGCTCGATCGGAGACGCAGGTGAAGAAGGTCCCATGGTAAAACTACTCGTTGCACTTTCACGCAGACGCGCACGTGCTAGCACACACGTGCTCGCACACACACACGCCTACACACACACATGTACATACACGCAGACGCACATGCGCACGCACACACACGCATACACACGCGCTCGCACACGCGCACACTTTCCACTCCGCCCGTGTTGAAGAGTCTGCTTCAATTACTGGTGTCTGTCGGCAAAGAAATACACAATGTACATAACACGGCAACAACACTCACAACAAACATTAGCGTCTTACGTTAGCGGTGGGCACTTTAATACGTGACGCACGTCTCAAAGTACGGAAATTATTAATAACATTACTTTGAATGTTTGTTTCATATTTAATTTCTTCATTATATAAACGCGGAAAAGTGATAAGCACAAGCGGTTGATTATGTATCTCGAGTGACGCCGGAGTGCACAAATAGCCGTACGAAACAACAACGATAATCTTGGTATTCATCCATTCATCAAATTCGCCAATGAGCTTCAACTTTATTTTCAGCGGGGTCTTGCATTGGGGATGTTTGGCCAATTGCATTTTTAAGTGACGAGTGTTTTAATTCGCGTTTTTACGGAAAAAAAGGCTGCTACCGTAGGACGTGATTGCCATCTCGGCAAAATAATAAACATTTCTTTGCTATTTTTTGTAACTAATTTTCCATTTCCGACATCACCGCAGTGTCTCTTGAACAACAACAAAAATCTAATTCCCATTCACCTGCTTTATAGGAAATTACTTCAGGTAATTTATCAGGCTCTCTGGGTATAAATGCGCGCGTACATAAGTGGAACCCTTTATAATAGCAGTCAACTGCCCTGAATTGGTTAAATTGTATATTTAGTTCCACTTCGGGGGTAATGCGTCAATAAAAGCATTATTTAATAGTTTACAGGGAGAATATATACACATTGAGGGAGCAGTTAAAATGTATTTTTAATTGCCTGGGAAAATAAACAATGACGTGCGCGTGCGTTATGTCGCGTCGGCTGAAACTTAAAAATGACAGCGTATGCTGCGAAATATCTTATATGACTTTAGTTGGGGGGGGGGAGGGGAGGAGGTGTAGGAAATTAAGCCCTGTAAATGTATCTTTATGACTGCGTTAAATTCATCGCCTGTGGAAATGTGAGGGCCCTTGATTGTGAACAAGCGACATGAGTCGGCGTATATACGCGCGGAGGCGGTGGGGCGAACGAACATCGCGTCGAAAATCGATTCCCATGCCACGGCCAACAATCAGCGGTGAGCGTTATCCAAGCTGGCCCCTGGGCCCCCTTTTTCACTTCACCAACTTTTGCACTGATCAGCTCGGTGAAGTATGGCCAAAACAACCCCTACACGACTGTCGCTACATGTCAAGTCAATTGTATGTTTTTTTGGTTGTACGCAGACGCGCACACGCGCACGCCGTTCTGACACAAACCCGCCACTCGTCAACATTAATGTTCAACATTGTAAAAGAAGCTGTCGAATGGACGGATTTTCATCCTGCAGTGGATTGGCAAAGAGATGTACACATACACCGTTTGTTTTTTATTCACTATCATTATTATCATTCACTTGCATTTGTCAACGTAAGATGTGCGAAAACGATGTGAAACGCTCGCTTCCTTTCGGCTCGAAGCGTGGCCGTGCTTGACCACCCCTGTGTGTGTTTTTTTTAGGGAGACATTGGCCGCGATGGGAAGGGAGGACCTCTGGGACCCAAGGTGACGTTAACTTCTCGGCCAGAAGTGGCTTGCCTTATCAGCCCACTCAATCATTCCCCCTCATCACCCACACTGCGTTTCCCCGCGCTTGAATAATGTAATAACCTGTAAAACTCACCTTCAGTCAAACGGCAAACACTGCTTGTATCGCGCGGGGCGTCGTTAATTTTTAATCTCCGCAATGACTGAGCGCCGTAATGAAAAAAAAAATTATGTTTTTTTTAACTCGACACTTTGTCTTGCCTACCGTTACAGGGGGACAAGGGCACATCTGGAGACAAAGGACAGGTAACACCACCTAAAGCGGACGCTTCATTTAGCCGCTAATCAGATTGTCACACTCGCTCCCCAGTTACATTTATTATGTTACCGACGGTTTTCCCCGCCTGATGAATGGCGAATTGTAGCTTTTTTGTCTGTTGAAAAAAAATTATTGTGGTTAACTTTAATCGGCGGTGACGTTTCTGGCATAGAAGTAGGTCCAATTGCCTGAAACGTCACCGATTACATACATACACGGAGTGCTGGTTGCCTTGGTTAGCACTCTGGCCTATGAACCTGGCCACCGCTAACATCAGGGGCTAGGGTCAGAATTGTTGTTTGTGCACAGACGCACACATTTATTGTGAATATGTCAAGTCCACCTCCCCCATCGGTCTGGAGCACTCTGGCCAGACTACATTCAATCCATCCCGTCTCACGAAAGCCTTTAGGCCTGACAAACGAAGGTCACCGGCATCTCCGCTACGCGAGGATCGCCACAGGCCTCGGCCTAGCGAAGTCGTCTCTGAATTAAGGAGAAATGTACGTGCTTGTTATTATCATCATTATTATGTGTGTGTGTGCGTAGGGAGTGGTGGCGCAGCGGTTAGCGCGCTGCGCTACGAACCCAGCGACCCGAGCTCCATTCCTGCTCACGGCCCAACACCAGTGACGATTATCTGAACCGGTTCCGGGCCTCCCCTAGGTCGACTCAGCCTCAAATGAGTGCCTTGTATTTTACGTAGCAAACATCGCCACTGGGGAGACTAAGGCGGTCGGGCGTGGTGCTGACAACCCACCCCCTCGTGTACCGTGCCGGCCTTCAAAGGTGTCTACTCGCTAACAGCAAGGCTACACGGGGTGGTCTTTGTGCGTGTGTGTCCGTGTCTGTGCGTGTGCCCCTGCTTGTGTGTGCGCCTGATGTGTGCGCTCTCCCCGTGGCCGTGTTGGTCCCAGAAAGGGCTGCGGGGCCTCACCGGCCAGAAGGGCGTTCTGGGCCAGCGAGGGTCCCCTGGCTACCCCGGCTCCCGAGGAATCACGGGGCCGAGAGGAAACCCCGGAGGCAAGGGCCTTGCTGGGCCCCCAGGTCCAGCCGGCCCATTGGTAAGGCTTCTATGATTTAATCTTCTTGGTTCTTTCGGTAAAGTCACGTAGAAGTGGAAATAATAAAATAATAAAAATAAAACATGATAAAATAATTCTCACGACGTTTCGGCCACAATGCAAGCAGCCGTCCTCAGGTGAAGAACAGGTCTGTCGGAAAGACAGCGTCTGAATGAACACCACCAGGCTTGGCAGCGTATATTTAAGCTGGGTTGGAAGGGGAAGAGCGCCTTGACAAAGGAATTTGCATATCATATCAAGATGTTAGTGTAAATGCGATTGGTATTACCTTAGAGTCGCGGCATCTCTTCAGAAAGGTGAGAGACTCGATTAGCTTAGCCTTCTTATCCCAGAGTTTGTTGAAAGATCTTAAAGTTTTGTCGACAAACATGATGCCTGTTTAAAGGGTAAAAACCTACTACTATATTTTGCCACTGGTAAAGGAGGTCTCATAGTGTAAATGCTTACCCCGAGCTCTCAATACTCTGATAGTGCACAGTTTTTTAGTTGTACGCCTTTTGGCGTCTTCTGGTCCAACACCAATGGTGACTAGGCTCTAAGAAAAGCTGTCTCGGGTGTGGACCAATCAACTTCAAGGACAGTGCATATCATTATCAGACTTGTTTCTTTTTGTTTGCATTTTGACTGCTTGTGTTGTGGTTATTGCAAACATGATGCCTTGTATAAAGGTGTCAGTTTTGTACCAGTTTAAAGGGTAAAAACCTACTACTACTACTAATATTTTTTTATTCATTAAGTCATGTGCACCACCTGTATTATTAGTTTAATCACTATGACCGATACGCAGTGAGAGGCCCTCGTATATTGCTCATAGGAAAACAATGACGCTGTCAGGAACGCATCCCCCCTATATGCAGTGGTATGACGACTCCTTTTAGCACCGATTTGGTTAGCGCCCACTTCTCCAGGAACGCATCTTAAGCACTCGGCAAGGTCTTCCTGTAATCAGCGAGTTTTTTTTTACTTTCTTTCGCTAAGGAATAGCTGGTAAGAGCACCACTACAGGACCGCTCGTCAAGTTATTTATATTTTTAAAAAAATGTACCTGCCGAGAACTCCAGGGGTCCCGTATAATCCCACTTGGCAACTTTGACCCGGGGCATTCGTCTACCAGTAGGGGGCGACAATTGCATTGTGTAAACTCAATTGAGTAATTATCAGCATCATTAAAATGTTTTTGCCAAATTTTAAACCCCGACGCCAATATGCAACATCCCACTCTTGCTAATCCCGTCGTGGGGGTAGGTGGGGGGAGGGGTCCCGCTGTGAACCGGAAGTCGCGTATCGTTATTGCTGTTATCATTATCACTACGGTTATTAACGCCCGCAGTAATCGATCGGGGTGGCCGCTGGGTTTGAACCACGATTCCTCTGCGGCGAACGACGAACACGCCACCGCTGGGGGTGACGCGTCGCTGTTCACGGCGGGGAGGCTCGATGACTCGGGGCGGCTGCTGCCGTGCTGGACGAACGCTCAGCCCGCCGGTCTATGTGAATGTTGGCTCCGATCTAATATTTGCACAACCCCGGGAAAATATGATTATTTGTTCCTACCGGCAAAAAAAAAAATCCGCTTTGGTTACTTAGAAAAACGACAGTTGGGTACAAATATTCAGGAAAATATAGGTTCTTATATTTCCAAATATTGGTTCCTAAATGGAACAGATATTCATTCCTCACAGAACAAACATTCGGGGGTGGGTGGGGGAACACATTCTCTTGACACGGGCCCTGCTGAGATCCTACCGAAAGGGCTTCAGAAATAGTTTTGATAACTTCACGTGACCATTGTCCAAACCAGGGGGGGGGAGGGGTGGGTCGGTCCACTGCTCGCTGTAATAATTTCGGATGGAATTGTCTTTGTCTCATGACGTGATTGTGGAATATAAATGGAAGGGGGGGGGGGGAGGCAGAAGCCAAAACACCGTATGACGGAGAAGTGAATGAAGGGAACGACACATTATTGAACAAGTGTCAGCCTTGTCTTTCGCTGTCCTCCTCCGTGCAGAGAGTAGAGGGGCAAAGTCGCGTCTAAAATCCGTCCGTCGATGAGACGTGTGGAGAAGCGCGTGTACGTCGGTGTGTACGTTGAACTTCTTTCGCGCACCGCACTTAGCCAACCGTGCTAATCGGAGGTGCATGGACCATGGAAACAGACGAGAAGCTTGACAAAAGCGCACTCGTGGGTCGAGAAAGAAAACATTCTGGTGGTGGGTTTAGGCAGAAAATAAGGCAGTGAAACCCAGACACATGATGCGTTTTAGTTTTTTTACCACATGTTGTTCAGCGTCACGTCTAATGTTTCAGTTCCTGAAGAAGCTGTCAGCACGTAGACCGAAACGTCGGACTACATTTTTTTGTTTTATTTTGCCAGGTAAGGCCCACTGAGCTATGTAGCTCTTTTTCAGAAGCGACCTGGCCACAAATGATAGCCTAATGAAGTGGCTTACCATGTGGAAATGTATAGCAGCCAAATATTATAAACGCGTGTTTCTAAATGTGGAGAAAAAAACCAGAGGACCCCGAGAAAAAGCCACACCACCACGGGGAGAGAGACACCGCAAACTCCAAATAAACAGGCGTCGTCAGGGTCAAGATCGAACCCACGACGTGAGGTAGTGAACATCTCACCACCGTGGCGCCCCAAACGATACGCGTTACGACCTGAAAGCACGCTCTTAAGAGCTATCTATGCAGCACAGATGCTAAAAAAACCTACGTAGCGGCATGTGATGGAGGTTTTAAACTTGGCGGAATTAGGTTGGCACAATTTGGCAGAAAAAACTTTTGTACTTTATAAAACAAATATAGTTTTAATAAAGTACAAGATTTTAAAATTACGTTGAACATGAAGTCATGCGCTAAATTACAAAACACGGCGGTTAAAATGCGGGTTAAATTTGGGAATTGATACCCCCCCCCTCCCTCCCCGTTTAAAAACTCGAGCTTAATACATCGGCTTCATTTATAAGCGAGCGGAGGGCACTCCTTAACACAGACGAAAGCCAAACACAATGCGGATAATGAAGGTTGATACATCGCCATTGTTTTCTTTGCGAGGCCAGGGACCCGAGTTGTAATTGGAATTTATCTCAGGGTCCTACCCATGGGGCCTACGCTACATTTTTTCTCCCTTTTTCAGAATGCCATAAATTGACTTGCCCGTGCCACTACCGTGTGCGGATGCGCCTCTGCTAATGAGGAATTTTAGAAGGGTCCTTTGGCCTCCTCTTCTACGCTGGCCACACGAAATTGGAAGGCGTGGGAGTACCCCCCCCCCCCCCCCCCCCACTTAATTCTCACCGCACGCGACCTGCCGTTCGACTGGCCTGTGGCAGATCCCGTTAATACCGCCGGTGTGGACAGAGGCGAGGGGAATTAACAAACAAACTAAAAACTTCTACACTATGGGGACCTCATTTGCCAGTAAAAATATGATAATTGGTTCTTTACCCTTCTATCTGGCAACAAAACTGACACCTTTTTGCAAGGAGTCATGTTTGCATAGACCGCAATACCTGCAGTCATAATACAAACAAAAGAACATAACTCTGATAATGTGCACTGTCCTTGAAGTTGATTGGTCCACACCCGAGACAGCTTTCCTTCGAGCCTAGTCTCATATGGGTTGGACCAGATGACGCCAAAAGGCGCACAACTCAAGGACAATGCACCATCAGAGTATGAGAGCTCGGGGCAAGCATCTACACTATGGGGACCTCATTTGCCAGTAAAAATATGATAATTGGTTCTTTACCCTTCTATCTGGCAACAAAACTGACACCTTTTTGCAAGGAGTCATGTTTGCATAGACCGCAATACCTGCAGTCATAATACAAACAAAAGAACATAACTCTGATAATGTGCACTGTCCTTGAAGTTGATTGGTCCACACCCGAGACAGCTTTCCTTCGAGCCTAGTCTCATATGGGTTGGACCAGATGACGCCAAAAGGCGCACAACTCAAGGACAATGCACCATCAGAGCCAATAAAACAAAGTCCACACACAGACCGGGTCCACAAACCTACTTGCTGTGCCGTCTATGTGGTCACCTCGCCGACCGGGGCATTTGGGCCGAGGCTAAATTGCAGCCGGATCCGTTCGGCTCCGCAAACACGGAGAATATTTCCACACCACATTCGGTATACCCCTCGCGATGGCTGTGGCTACTCGTCTGCTCTGTGGAGTATTCTCGTGAAGGATCCGACTGGGTAGTTGGAGGCAGTTGCCCTCCAACAACGAGCGGATTGCCCGGTGGCTCAGTGGGAGGTACAACTGGTGCAACTGCCAGTTTCCTTCGTCATGCAACCCATTGCACCTGGGTCTGTCCCGTGACCTCCTGTTCGCGAGCTATGGACACTTCATGTGACCCCAAAGTTCACCTGGCCTGGCACAGGCGCCGTGGTGACGTGACCGTCACTAAGTGCCGAATAGCGGGCACTGGTATTGGCTACTCGTCACAAGCCTACTCCGGCCTTCAACGAGTCCGGCAACGAAGCGGAAGAGTAGGCCGAAGAGCAGCGGGTGGTAGGAGGCTGTTAGGGCAGAACGTCAAGGGTTGGTTGTCTTACTGTGCAAGCATCTGTGGGATCTGGCGGAGCGGTTGAAAGGCATTGGGCATCAGTGACTCCTGGCTTCATTGACATCCCAATCGACTCCGGTGTGCCGGCAACCCCAGAGAAAATGTGCAGCGGGAAGTAACGCCCTAGGAGGTTTCCCCACGACGTCCGCGTGTACGTTGAACTCCATTCGCACCGCACGTAGCCAACCGTGATAATCTCGCCGCGATTCACCAAACCCTCGCCTCCAAATCGTGCCATCGGCGAAGTTTGGGCTAAAATGCCGGGAAGGTTTCGGGGTGGTGATTTGTTGGGGGGGGGGGGGGGGCGGTGGTTTCCGTGCTGCTCAGAGGTCCCAACCGGGTACCCGATACCCGTACCCTACCCGATACCCGGCTACCCGTACCCGGCCAGGTACGGGTACGGGTAGCCGTTTGCGACCCTGGTGCGGCCAGGTACGGGTACGGGTAGGCCGTGAGTCACTGGTGAGTCACCGTTTGTCACTCATTTCGGGTAGGGTACGGGTACGGGTAGGGAACGGGTACCCATTTGCGACCTTGGTAACGGGTAAGGAATCAAACCCCGTTTGCGACCTCTGGACTGCTGCTTGGGCCTCTGCTGCCACCACGTGACCGCCTGTGGCTACCGCAGGGCTCAAGCCTCAACGACTCGGTGGTGGCGGAGCTGTGCCGGCGCGTCGTTATGGAGACGGTGGACAAGTACGCAGGCGCCCTGCGCCGCACGTGCATCGCCGCCTGCCCCAACAACGGGCGCGGACTGCTTGGCTTGCCCGGACCCCCAGGACCGCCGGGACTCCCCGGCAAACCGGTGGGTGTGAAGGCCAGCGGTCATCGCTGCAACCCACGGGCAATCTGTGGTGCCACCCTACACCCACGAGAACACCGTTCACGATGGTGCCAGTCTGGATTCACTACAACACCATTCATCATGGTGTCAGTCTGGATTCACTATAACGCCATTCACCATGGTGCCACTCTGCACCCGCTAGAACACCGTTCACCATGGTGCCACTCTGCACCCACTACAACACCATTCACCATGGTGCCACTCTGTACCCGCTAGAACGCCGTTCACCATGGTGCCACTCTGCACCCACTACAACACCATTCACCATGGTGCCACTCTGCACCCACTACAACACCATTCACCATGGTGCCACTCTGCACCCACTACAACACCATTCACCATGGTGCCACTCTGCACCCGCTAGAACACCGTTCACCATGGTGCCACTCTGCACCCACTACAACACCATTCACCATGGTGCCACTCTGCACCCACTACAACACCATTCACCATGGTGCCACTCTGCACCCGCTAAAACACAATTCACCATGATGCCACTCTGCACTCACTAGAACACCATTCACCGTGATGCCACTCTGGATTCACTAGAACAGCACGAATGGCAAATTACAATTAAGCAACTTTCAGGAGCCGATGTGCTGGTGACATCACTGCAGCGACACAATGCCCTATCCGTCAGTCATGCACCGGTGACATCACTAGGAAGTGAGTTTAACGTTTATTTGTGTCTCTAATGAAACTTCAAACCTGTGACGGAGAGAGCCGGGGACACAGCCTAGATATATACAAGTTGTGCAACAGCAGTATTTTCAGTCTTTTTGCTGCTTTAGCGTGAGAACTGATAAATGTTCTTGCCTACACCATCTGAAAACCCAGCAACATTTGTTTGACGGGCTTGCCTCTGCTGATGATTCCCAGAGGGTCAAAACTATTGCCGACTTTACCTGCTCACACAAATGCTGCTCAAAAGCACAAGTGCAGGTGACTCGGATGACCATGGACTGGAAAAGTTGGATATTTTTTTCTTGTATAAAAAAAAAGTGAAATTTTCTGTTAACTTACGATTCCTTCACTAATCCTCCACGACAGCGCATGGATAATTAATTGTGTTCTTACATCATAAGAGCTCTTTATTCTTTGGGTTACATCTTCCTGTCATCATTCATAAGTTACAGTGTTGACCGCTGTGTAGTCCTGCGAAGTCTATGCAAGGTCGCACATGTCTTGGCCTGGTCTCTGTGGATAGAATAATCATCGACTCAAACCGTGTTTACCTTTATCTTAAGCATTGATCCACTTGCCGTTAGTCTCTTTCCGTCTCTCCATCTGTGCCTCCGTCCGTCTGTAAGTCCGTCTGTCTGTTCATCCCTCCGTCTGTCTCTCTGTCCATCCATCTGTGTGTCTGTCTCTCTGTCTATCTCACTGTGCGTCCACCTTTCCAACTCTCTGTCCATCAATCTATGCTATTGTCTCACCGTCTGTCTGTTTGTCTCTCTGTCAGTCCCTCCGTCTGACTGTCCGTCTGTTAATTCGTCCATCCGCTCCGTTCTGTCTCGCTGCGCAGGGAGAGCAGGGCCTCGTGGGATTCGATGGGGATGTTGGACTCCGGGGTTTGACCGGCGACGGGGGCCAGCCTGGCGATCCTGGAGAGAGAGGTGCGTGTGACCCTTGACGTCTCTGAACGTTGTCTTAGAAAGACTCTCGTACCCATTTTCCACTGCAGCAGCCAATGCGTGCCACGGACGTGAATGTACGTGTGTGAGCTTGTTTCGTACCGTGCATAGCCAAGCGTGCTAATCGGAGTTGTAGGGGAAGGACAAGAAATTATTTTTTTTATCGAGATGATTTTAAAGTGCATCGCCCCACGTGGCGTCCTAATATCGGAAGGATGAGCATTCCAGACGGCCGCAGAAGCGTTTCTGTAAGCAAGCGATGCAGTGATCATCTTTGTTCGATGGCCAGCAAAAAGCCGCTGCAGCGAGGATGACCGGAGTTCACGTGATGGTTTATACTCCTTGATTTGTGGCAAGCACTTTGTGTGGAATGAGTGCGACCTTATATGCCGCTGCGTTTGAGTCATACTGGCTGACGTCACATACAACGGATCCGTCATTAACCCCACCCCTAGTCCTGCTTGGCCCTGAGCCACATTCAGATGTCATTTTAGACCGGAATATTTGGATGCAACTTGGAATGACAAATTGCCAGTGGAAAAGCACCCTGACTGTTATTGGCAGCAGCTGGATAATACATTCGTGATTAATTACTTAGTTTTATCAGCTGGGAAATTGCGTTAGTATATGAAGATCTGCCTTACAACTAAATTACCCACAATGCAGCAGTCGCGTCAGCTATCATAGCTCAGCAGGCTTGAGTTTGGATATTGCTTTGATGGGCAACCACCAATCATGAAGCCTGTATTATCAGCTGCTGTGGAGCTATGTTGTCAGCAGAGGGCAGTGCAGCAAATAAATGGTTGTTGCTGTACCGGGGGTCAGCAACCAAATCAAACAAGAAGGGCCATTCTTTTCGAATTCGAGGGGAAAAATATGATTCAAGAGCCGCAATACATGCGAATACGAGACGGTGGGTCCCTTGATAAATAACCTCACGAAGCACTCCTTAATGAGCCGACCGCTGCTCCAGAATCGTAGGTTGCGGACTTCTGCCCATTGGTAAACCGGACTCCCATGGTGAACTGGACTCCCACGGTAAACTGGACTTCCACGGTAAACTGGACTCCCACGGTAAACTGGACTCCCACAGTAAACTGGACTTCCACGGTAAACTGGACTCCCACGGTAAACTGGACTTCCACGGTAAACTGGACTCCCATGGTGAACTGGACTCCCACGGTAAACTGGACTTCCATGGTAAACTGGACTCCCACGGTAAACTGGACTTCCACGGTAAACTGGACTCCCACGGTAAACTGGACTTCCACGGTAAACTGGACTTCCACGGTAAACTGGACTTCCACGGTAAACTGGACTTCCACGGTAAACTGGACTTCCACGGTGAACTGGACTCCCACGGTAAACTGGACTTCCACGGTAAACTGGACTTCCACGGTAAACTGGACTCCCACGGTAAACTGGACTCCCATGGTAAACTGGACTCCCATGGTGAATCGGACTCTCACGGTAAAATGGACTCCCATGGTAAACCGGACTCCCACGGTAAACTGGACTCCCATGGTGAATCGGACTCTCACAGTAAACTGGACTCCCACGGTGAACTGGACTCCCACGGTGAACTGGACTCCCACGGTAAACTGGACTCCCACGGTAAACTGGACTCCCACAGTAAACTGGACTCCCATGGTAAACTGGACTCCCACAGTAAACTGGACTCCCACGGTAAACTGGACTCCCACGGTAAACTGGACTCCCATGGTAAACTGGACTCCCACGGTAAACTGGACTCCCACAGTAAACTGGACTCCCACGGTAAACTGGACTCCCACGGTAAACTGGACTCCCATGGTAAACCGGACTCCCACGGTAAACTGGACTCCCATGGTGAATCGGACTCTCACAGTAAACTGGACTCCCACGGTGAACTGGACTCCCACGGTGAACTGGACTCCCACGGTAAACTGGACTCCCATGGTAAACTGGACTCCCATGGTAAACTGGACTCCCATGGTAAACTGGACTCCCACGGTGAACTAGACTCCCATGGTAAACTGGACTCCCATGGTAAACTGGACTCCCATGGTAAACTGGACTCCCACGGTAAACTGGACTCCCACGGTAAACTGGACTCCCATGGTAAACTGGACTCCCACGGTGAACTAGACTCCCATGGTAAACTGGACTCCCACGGTAAACTGGACTCCCATGGTAAACTGGACTCCCATGGTAAACTGGACTCCCATGGTAAACTGGACTCCCACGGTAAACTGGACTCCCACGGTAAACTGGACTCCCATGGTAAACTGGACTCCCACAGTAAACTGGACTCCCACGGTAAACTGGACTCCCACGGTAAACTGGACTCCCACGGTAAACTGGACTCCCACAGTAAACTGGACTCCCACGGTAAACTGGACTCCCACGGTAAACTGGACTCCCACGGTAAACTGGACTCCCACGGTAAACTGGACTCCCACGGTAAACTGGACTCCCACGGTAAACTGGACTCCCACGGTGAACTGGACTCCCATGGTGAACTGGACTCCCACGGTAAACTGGACTCCCACGGTAAACTGGACTCCCACCGTAAACTGGACTTCCACGGTAAACTGGACTCCCACGGTAAACTGGACTCCCACGGTAAACTGGACTCCCACGGTAAACTGCATAGTGAACAGTCGGCAACCAAAATAACAAGAAGAGCCATTTTTCTTTCGAATTCGGCAAAAAAACTCACTATTTGAAGAGCTGCAACGCAGTCCTTAAAGAGCCGCATTCGGCTCCAAATTCGCAGGTTTGCCAACCCCCGTGTTGCTGCGCCATGCCCCACTACCCATGCTTCCCGCACCTTCGAAAACCCACACCGACCAGCCTCGTGGACAATGCTTGGCTGATCCTCGTGACCCCTATGACGTTGAGAGGTCGTCATCCAGCAGTGGGTCGACAAATGGACTGTGTGTGTGTGTACACTCGCGAAGAAGATGCATGTTATGCCACTGTAAGGTTTAGTTGCTGTAAATGTGCATTTGTGTGTCTATGTGGAGCATGCCACAGTTGTCAGTGCACTGCACTTCAATTCTAGTGACATGAGTTCGATACCTTGGTCGTGGATGACAGCAGTTGCATTGAGTGTCTATAGCTGGTTTGGTCCTCCTCTTGGTCAACTCGGCATGAGATGATCACGTGGTGTGGTCTGTGCCTTGAGTAGCAGCGTTGGGGAAGGTAGCAAAGGTGTGGCCAAGGTAAGTTTGGGCAGCATCCTCCCATTTGAAGTGTCACGCCGGCCTTAATAGGCACTCACTAACAACACCTGCTCCAGCAGGGTGTGTGGCTCAACTGGATGGATATATTTGTCATTGTGGGTGTGTGTGTGTGAATGCGAGGTGAGCATTACTGCAACGGTTAGCGTGCTGCGCTACGAACCCGGCGACCCGAGTTCAATTCCCGCTCACGGCTAACACCGGTGACGATCATCTGAACCGGTCCTGGCCCTCCCCGAGCCTCAAATGAGTACCTCGTGCAGTGTGTAAACATCAGCACTGGGGAGACAAAGGTGACCTGGGCGTCGCGCTGGCCACCCACCCCCTTGTGTGCCACCGTGCCGGCATTCACAGGCGCTCACGAACAGCACTTGCCCCAAAAGTCTGTTAAGGCTATACGGGGGGGGGGGATCTTTGTCTTTGTCTTTTGTGTGTGAATACAAGGTAAATCGGGGATCAAAGGAATCAAAGGAGCGGCAGGCATTGGGCTGCCTGGATTGGATGGCCTACAGGGTCCCGTCGGTGAGTGGACAGTGCAGGATTGCAACATTCACTGCGCCCACGCGTTGCCCCAGTGGCAGGCTGTGTGGCCAAGCGCGACATGTCAACGCCAGCACATCGGAGTAAAAAATAGTTGGTGGATCGCGTAGAGATTCGTATTTAATTGGCAGCACCGTCTGGGCAAAGCACATGTTCTTAATTGCAAGTAGTGCATTCGTCCTTAGTTTGTGTCTCTCCAAGTGTATGGGTAACCCCTTGTAATCAACGTGGCCGGTTGTCATCCACGTAAGTCCTGAATATCAACGGGACATTGCGCTAAAGGCGTTCTTCATCTTTGATCACCTTCACGAGATCCATCGTACACCTCACCCCACCCACCGTCACAGATACACAGGCAGGACAGAGCGCCGATAGCAAATAGCATCAAACACGCGTAAACCTGAACCAGAGAGAGCGTTACGCGAATGTGCCACTCTGCGTCGCCCGTCTCACCCCGTTATCCCGGACGCAGGCGCGCCAGGAATACCGGGCATCGCGAAGGACGGCGTGCCTGGGATGGAGGGCCCCAGGGGTTACCGGGGCCGACCGGGCCCCCCTGGCCAACCCGGCATGCCCGGCGAGCTCGGCAAGTGCGAGGCGCGCGATTGCGGGGCGCCGCCTTTCGGCCTACACGCCGCCATCGGCCTCCTCAAAAGCCACAAGCGACAGTCTTAAGGCCCGCGCACAGGACTTCTTAGGCCACACCTCGTCATCCGTCTGCCGTCCCCCCTCGCCCCACCAACCCCGCCCCTCCCCCCCTTTCCCCTGGTTCCGTGTTTTACCAAAAGGGCAGCACGGTCCTCGTCCCGCGCGCCTCCTTGAGAACGCGGTAGCTTCAGCTGCCCCTCCCAGGGCCAACGTTACACGCTTAACACGCGGGGCGGGCGGGGGGGGACTCGAGAGAAAGCGAGAGAACGTCTTCAAATCCGGCTCTTTCGGTGGAGGCAGTTTCCAAGAGCTACTGCGGGTCGTGCGCGTGTTCCCGTGCGAGTTAAAGCGGCGTGCGGTCTTGCTTTAATGTAACCGTGTGTGAGCGCGCACATCGGGAAACCTGGCGTGTGCCTGATTCGTGTGTTGTTGGCGATTGCCTCCTTAACGGTCGAACTTTTTTAAATATTTTTTTTTTGTTTAAAGAGAACGCGTCGCCAACAATGGGTACAAATCCCGAGGGCGGTGCGATGTTGCGTTGTGGGCCATCTTGTCGAGGAGTTGATCTGGCGCCTCCGGAGTTTATTTTCTTAATTATTTTCGGTGTAAAAAAAAATAAAAAATGAAAAGTAAACATTCCGGCGGAGCAGTGAGTTGGGTTGATCGGAATGCACACCTCTTTTTTCTTTAAAGCAAATGTTCCTTCACGTGGTGCTATTCTATTATAAAATATGCTGTGCCCAATGTTCATACAAGTGCAGTCCATACTTCCCTTTATGTGCCTTGGGACCTCCCAGATGGCCTGTGAACGGTCTGAGCAAATCGCCAGTTTTGGAAGTGCATTTTTTTTATTTTGCTTCTTTGATTTTGGTCACTTTAAAAGTCGTATTTTTTTATTATTATATTTGCTTGTCCACGCTGTGAATAACCCGGTGGATTCACTGTGCAAAGAACAGCAGAGTGATGGTGTCCAGACATTTGTTTTTAATTCAAATAGTGTGCAATGGTGAATATAAAATGTTTATACGACGCTTATTTTTTTAACCACCTGGGGAAAAAACTTGAGTGCAAAAAAAATAAAACATCTGTACATTTTTTTTTTTACAAAAAGAGCATGTCATTACATCATCAAATTGTTAAACGTGCGTTCACCAAACAGCGTGTCGAGCTGGAAGATTTACCGTTGAGGGCTCGGGTTTTTGGTTTCGTGTCGAGATGAAGACGACTTTTTTGGGGGTTGTTAATTCAACAAATTCCCCCCCCCCCCGCCCGTAGTGAACACAACAATCGATGTAAATATACTGTGGCAAAAAGTGCATTACAGTCAAAATCATCTTCCTTTTCGGGTCTCTGCACCCTGCACGGCGTTCCTCAAATAAAAGCAAGAAACTACCAAAGAATTGGCGCAAACGGTCTTTTTTTCCGACACCCCGCGCCGACGAAACGCTTGGCACAAGTCACGCCGAACGCGCAAAGCGCCGTCGCCCCGCTGCGTTGCTCTCACGCGTGCGCGCTATTAAGGTGCCATCACAACGGAACGCATTTTTATCCACGGAATTCACGTGATTTTCTCTCGCTACCCACCATCGCTCGGCGTGGGGATATCTCCGACCCTTGACTTACGATCGCCGTTTGCCTGCCGGGGTGGCGTGGTTGCTCATCGGCCGTTTATTATTTTTTTGCGCCCGTCTCTTGCCGCGCCACCGGCCCGATCGCTGACCACGCCGGCTCTTGCATCCATCCATCCAATCCGCCGGTACCATCGGTTTCCACTGCAAGTGGAAGTACGGGTGATTGTAAAAAATTGCCGCACGCACTCCAAGTGGAACTCGCATCTTCGTTCGTTACCGGCTTGGGAACTGAACTTCGCGTGGCGATTGCTGCGGCGGTGTCAACCTCCAACCTCTTCGCGGCCGTATGAATATCGCGCAAGCCAGTGAATGTGATTGCCCCGGTAGGTCAACTGTGTAATGTTTGTGCACAAGGCGGGGGGGGGGGGGGGGCGCATCAAGTTTGGCGATGTGCAGTGAAAACTAATCCACCAACTTACGAATGATGTTTTTTAAAATAAATATTTAAACACGCAATAAAGAGGATGGAATTGGCACGGTGTTGTGTTTGTGAATAGACTAAACTGTCTTGCAGGGAAGCCTGCGCAGGGTAACTTTCGAGCATCATTAACGCCGTTGTTGGATCACATCTTGTTCGTGAGCACCTATTAAGGCCGGTGCTGACGAGGCAGTGGGGGTGGGGGGTGCTGTAAGCCAGTACTTTACCCAGCTGCCTCTGTTTCACCAGTGCTGACGTTTACACAGCTCAGGAACACGCCAGTTGCTATTTTTAAGGCTGAGCTGACCTAGAGGGAATCCAAGAACAAGGTGGGCCATTACGTGCCATTGACGTTGCCTGTGTATAGCTCAGTGGGCTTTACCTGGTAAAATAAAAACAACATTTGTTTAGTGGGCATCCTCTTGACCTTTCTTAACGGTCAATATTTTGGGTCTCATTTGTGTCGATTCCGTGATTCACGTGTTCCTTGCAATGCGGTTGGCTACACACGGACCTTGAAACTCCATGACGTGGCGTTGATGAGAATCTTTGGGTAAATAAAGCACGAGCAGCTTACGTTTACGCGGAGGGTGGCACACTGCAGGTGGTTGTCGGTGTTTATCAAAATCGTAAACTGAACCCAACGGACAAGTCGCCCTCGTCTTAGTTGTAGGTTCGGGCGGGCGGGCACGAGACATTGGTTTAGTCCATGTGTAGTAGGTTCCAGGAGACTTGGACGACGTAGTTGGATGCACACTTGTTTATTAACCACAATGTACATAACAGGCCGAGATGTACAACACTCGAAGGGGTATCAGCCCCTTCACCCGTCTAACAGGGAGATCACACAATCTATGTCACGCTAGCCTACTCCTAGGTCCTCCACTACAGGGCTAGGGGAGGCTAGCTAACCCAGCTCTGGTTAAGCTGGGATTACGGCACCCTGAGTCCCCAGACCGGCTCTTACAAGAGCATCGGCTCTAGGCTCTCGGGGCCACGCCACTGGCTTGCCCTGGTCGGTCCTGAGAAGGACAGCGATCCAGGGGAGTCCCAGGGCCTATCTAGCCGGTCTTCTTACTTCACTGTTTAAGGCTGAGCACTGAACCCCGAGCCCTCTGGCTCACCGCCTTATATAGCAACTCCCCCACTGAGGGGTGGGGCCGTGGGGGATCCCAGCGCCGTGTTAGCCCCCCAGGCTAAACGGTGAGGACGTGGATGTAAGCACCTCTCGGCGTACGGGCATAACCACGCCCAGTGTGTTTGTTTGCCCTCCGTAACACCTCTACACATGTGCCAGAGACGGGTTTTTGGTACACCACGAGGCGGTGGCGTACATTTGATCTTGGCTCATCGACGAACTTGTGGAAGCTCATCATACTCCCGCTGTCACAGCGTGTGTATGTTTTATTTGTGGTTTGATGGTGGTAGTGTAGCGGTTAAGCGCACTGTTTTACGAACCCCTTCACCCGAGTTCGAATCCCGCTCATGGCCAACACCCAGCGACGATATCTGAACCGGTCCTGGGCCTCCCCTGGGTTGAACCTGGTGCGGTGTGTAAAAACATCGGAGCTGGGGAGACAAAGGACGGTCGGGCGTGGTGCTGACCACCCACCCCCCTCGTGTGCCATGCCTGCCTTCATAGGTGCTCGCTAATAGCACTTGCCCCAAAAGTATGTTAAGGCTACACGGGGGGTAATCTTTGTGTATATGCGTGTGTGTGTGGTTTTGATGTCATGAATTCACACGAAGCTGCAGACAATCTGTGGCGGGCCTCAAACATGTGGAACACGGAACCTGGTCGCTCCCTCCACCTCTTCACCTGCGATGAGCCTGGCAGTCTTTGCCCAGGCCGCATCAGGGAAGAAGAACGAGCGCTGGAGAAGAAAGGGGATTGCCGAACACCCACGACGAACACGTGGCACCCATTGGGGGCCCGTCTGTGATTTGCGTGTTGACGTTTCGAACGCGGGGAATGATGTTGGTGGGGGGGTGGAGAGGTGGAGGGGTGGGGGGGCACCCCTAATTGCGGTGCACGTCTGGAAAGGTCGCGTTTGGCACGCGCTCCGTGTAAGGAATTCGTTAAACAATTAGGATCCTGCGGTGGCGAGGTGTTAACTACCTCGCGTGCGATGGAAGAGGTCGTGGGTTCGTTTCCGACCCTGACTGACGCCTGTAGATTTGGAGTTTGCGTGTCTCTCTCCCCGTGGTCACGTGGATTTGTATCTGGGTCCACCGGGTTTTTCCCTACACGTTTAGAATCAACATCACGAATTTATAGTATTTGGCTGCTATACATTTCCACGTGATAAGCCACTTCGTTGGGCTATCATTCGTGTCCAGGTTGTTTCTGAAAAAGAGCTATACAGCCCAGTGATCCTTAACCTGGTGAAATAAAAATATAACATTGTTTAGTTTAGTTTGTATTTTGCCAGGCACGTCACCTGCTATGGAGCACGCGTGTCGTCTTACGGAGTTGGAAGCCAGTCCACTCCGCGCTCGCTCTCGCGTACGTACATCGGCACGTGTCGGTTTTTAATTTTAAACAGTGTGCTAATTCAAAGTAGCCATAAGCGTAAGCTGTCGGCAGTGGTGTCAGCAGGGCTCCTCGACTTGCCGGTTCGAGCACATTTCTCCCCTTGCGCGGCGGTTTGAACAACGTAGCAAGATTCCAAAATCCTCACCGCCACCTCTCTGCCCAGCCAGAAATATAAATAGGTACTTCTTAAGTTGACTGGTAGGTGAGATGTGGTGGGATAAAGTGTGGGTACTCCCACCTTCCACGATGGTTTCACCAGCATAGAAGAGTAGACCAAGTACCCTCTAGAAGGGGGCTCTCTCTTGAGTGTTCTGTTTGTGGAGTTTCTTCCACCAGCAGCGGCTTGAGCAGGCAATAGCAGGAATGCTCCTTTACACTTTTTGTCAAATATATTATTATATATAGCAACGTAATATTTTTTTGAGAAATGTTTAATTCAAAAATAACACACTAATCCGCGAGTGGCATATGTTCAAGCAACAACTTAATATATTAAAAATGATGGTGAGGCTGCATCATCTTAAGGAATGGCCGCATTGTTAAAAAAGATATACAGTAGCTGCCAGTCTGCGCACATGCGTTTTATAATCTCACAGCGATTGACCAAACTGTTGTATTCTCTATATGCGCACTTCACGCAAAATAGCATCGGCTTGTACCGATCCGTTGGGCACAAAAAACGCATGACTACATTATTTTTTGCGCAGCCCGAACAGTCGGACAAAAAAACTAAGTTTATTTAGGAAAATCGTCAGCGAAGCATTTCGGGAAGTTTGGTGTCCTTCAAAAAAATTGGCCGAAGTGTGCATCCGCTTGACAAATATCCGTGAGAACCCGTCCCAGCCCAATTTTAGACCCACGAAGACAGATTGTTTTGCTTTAATGACAATCGTGGTAGATTGTATTTTTTTTTCCTTTAAACGGAATAAGATATTTTCGTTTCGATGCCTGGGAAGAACTATCCGTCCATCAATGTGTCCGCTCATCAGTCTCTCTGTGTGTCTCTCACACAAGTCCACTTTATGTTTTCAAAACAACCCCCACCACCCCACCACCCCACCACCTTTACCGATTCCTACAAAACTCACCGCGCAGCTTACCAACACCAATGCCCAGATGTGTCATCTTTTTTGATGGAGCATGATGTACCATCAAACGCTTTGACAAAGTTGCCGGCTTTTTGTTTGGTTGTATGCCAGCCAGATTATCGGCCGTGCATTGTAGAACACGTGCATCTCGTGTGTGCTAGCGGGTTGCGTTTCACTCTGCAGCGTGCGCATTTTTTTGTGTAACGGTCACAAATCCCCGAACCAAAAAATGTGGACTCCCTTAACGGACTGGCTTGTCGGCTTTTAAAGAAAAAAAAAATCGAATGCACTGTAACTTTTAGACTTAAAAAAAATAAGTCCGTTCCAGCAATCGTAAGGTCAGTTCTCTCACGTAAAAAAAAGTATTTCGGTGGGACAACGGTTTTGATCGACTCGTCGTCGATTTAAATTGCAGCGCTTGGACGATT